ATAGTGAGGATCTAATATATGACCTTTAGGCGATGCTTTATATTTTATTCGTTAGATCAAGCTAATTAATTTGATCTAACGACTAATCAATGTGATCCAACCATTAAGAAATAGGGTCTCACCTAAGAGTCATATATTAGGCCCTCACTATAGAATGACTTGCATCCCCAATTGAAGAGTTTTCGGGCCCTATATCATAAAACTCGCTGAAACTAGTTCTAAATCCGTGGAATAGTATATGAGAAAAACTTCCTTGGCACGGGTATGCCATGTAAGTGTCCCCAACCAATCAATTCTCAACAGGTGTCAACCATACTAACAGAAAGAAAAAAACTTTGGACCCAAATTAATAGACCCCACTAATCTAGATAATGAACCCCATTAATCTAGATACATTGAGAACTCTAAGTATTCCAAATACATGAAATTTATTAAAGCCAAACTATTCCAAATTCAGGGATCTTATTAGAGCATCTCCCAGGGAAATGTCAAATAAAAAACATTAAATTTGTATTTGACGGCCTGTATGGCAATTTAACATTATGGACAACTTCTTATTCCACCCAAACTGTTAAATAAATTATTATTTTATTAAAGAATGAATGAAAAACAATGAAATATGGTAAGAGAAAAGCATATGGAAGCCCTTCGGATATAGCAATTCGGGTGGATATGAGTGAGCCACCTTTTCTAGCCATTTGGCACTCCACCTGGCTTTTGACAGCTTGGGTGGAGATGCTCTTAAAAGCCAAAATAATGAGATAAGTGCTTTCTATCTCAATGCTTAACTTTAATGTTTCCTTATCTGCCTCACTTAGACTACTCATAATGATTAGCTTCATATTGAATTTGATATGACTTAATGACCAAACAGACCTAGACGAGCTATTTCATAACGGATAACAACATATAAGTGATAGCATATAATAGTTTTTTGAGCTTTTCTGTATGATTTTTCAATTTTGAGAAAATTTTAACCTTTTAAATTGTTAGACATGTTTAAAATTTTCAACGAGTTTCCAAAACTTTCCAAAAATATTCCAAAATATGTAAGTTCCGAAATTTTCCTATAATTCCAAAAATTCCAAGTTTTCCGAATTGGAATGGATGTCGAAATTCCAAAATTTTTTGGAATGGAATTGGAAAAGAATTTTCATTCTGAATTTTTTTGGAATGGAATTGGAATCCCCTTATTCCAGCCCTACACCCCGACCCAACCTCTTACTATACACTGCCTCCCTTTACTCTCTCTCTCTCTCTCTCTCTCTCTCTCTCTCTAAAACTGAAAGGTCTCTTGAACCCATGGAAGCCATGCAACATATCTTAAGCATTGAAATTCAATTACCATCAACACCCATCTCTCACTTCAAGCTTTTACATATTTGGGGTGGGCAGTTCCATCTTTTCATGATCTTTTATTTTTAAATTTTATTTCAAAGGGTTATAGTTGGGTTTTATGTCCAATTGTAAAATAAAGTTTTAATTGTTTTTAAAAATGACACATGGCAAATTTTAAATAGGAGTATCACCGGCTGACGTGGTGATATAGTACTATTCTATAATTTCACATGTGGTAGGAGATATAAGGATTGATACATAAAATAACTTTTTATTTTATTGATAATCATATAAAGCAGAAGATACTTTGGCCATTTGCATCAAGCACAAACTTCCTTCTTGCATGCGTGCTCCTCCAGAACCACACACTATCATAAGAGGTAAGAAATGATTGGCAGCATACTCGGTAAAACTTGTGATTGTTAGTTTTCCCAATTTCTTATCCAGATTAACTTAACTTTTTGAGAAAAATATGAGGTTGTCATTTTTTTTGGGTTCGATTTGTAGTTTAGTTTTAAGGGGTGTATTCAATTGGGATTTGAAAATATTATTTCGGGATAATTATTAGTTTTTCCTATGAAGTATCAAAGGAAAAATATATATTTAAGGATTATAGTCAAAATATTTTAAAAGTGACTTCGTTTAGTGAGCAACTTTTATAACAAATCCAAGCTTCGTTTCAGCGCCACAACAAAGGGGGAAGGTATAGTTTAAAAACACAATAATGGTACCATGAGTAATTGAGTGTCCACAACAATTTTTAGGGTACTAAAATTAGGATGTGTCCATAACAAATTTTAGGGTACGAGAATCTTACGGTACCAAATTTTAGACAAATTAATGTGATCTTTGAGTTCAATTCACAATCTCCTGAAATCTTAGGTACCAAATAGTCTAGCAAAATAACGTGTCTTGTGGAGAGTAAGCATATATATCTTTCTCATGTTTCATGTGAATTGTAAACAAACTATCACATTAACATGATGTTTAACAATATGATTGAGGGCAGGATATGATGCTTGGTGGGACTGACACATCCTCCAACACAGCTGAGTTTGCATTTGCTGAAACCATGAACAATCCGGCGGTGATGGGAAAAGCCAAGCAAGAATTGGACGATGTAGTTGGCAAAGGCAACATTGTACAAGAAACTCATATTTCCAAATTACCATACCTACAAGCTGTGGTGAAAGAAACTATGTTCCTGTACCTACTCGAGCCACTTTTAATCCCTCACTGCCCAATTGAAACATGCATAGTGGGAGGCTACACCATTCCAAAGGGTTCCAGGGTTCTTGTTAATGCATGGGCTATTCATAGGGACCCTTCTAACTGGGAAGACCCATTGGATTTTGATCCAAACAGGTTCTTGCGTGGCAAATGGGACTATAGTGGACGTGACTTCAACTATTTACCATTCGGGTCAGGCAGAAGAATATGTGTTGGGACAGCAATGGCTGAGAGAATGATGGTATATACACTTGCTACACTCTTGCATTCCTTTGACTGGAAATTGCCACAGGGGGAGGAGCTGGATCTTTCAGAGAAGTTTGGGATTGTGATGAAGAAGAAGATACCTCTGGTTCTCATCCCAACTCCAAGGCTATCGAATCTAGCACTCTATGAGTGGCCTACAATATTTCAAGTTGTTAATGCTTTTGATGATTGAAGTTGTACTTAAACTACGGTTTATATGAACTTGATCAATAATTAAGATTAGCAACTTGACCATCTAACATCGAGAACTAATTCAAATGTTATTTCCTTTCTCGAAAATTCATGAATAGTATTGGTAATGGAAAGCCTCAAGGCCTATAAGCTTCTACACATACCAAATAATTATTGATCCCGATGATAAATGAGCACATGTGATGCAACCGTACTTGAGCCAGGGTGTTGGTCTCAAAGTGTTAGAATCTTTTGCTCAAACCAATTGCTATGACATTGAATCCATATCCAGTAGTAACACATATTCTAGTGATATATAGCGACAATTGAAAAAGCCTTTAATAATTTAGAAGTCAGCAATTATCAAAATTTGAAACTTAGCAGGTTAAGAAACAAAGTTAATCCTACTAGCACTACTACAAAAAGTGAAAAAGACGACCAGAAAAACACGACGGTCTAAGTGAAAACCGTCGTTGTGTTTTAAAAGACGACGGTTTTATAAAATCGCCGTGTAATAACACATTAGACAACTAAAAAATGGAGTTTCAAATGGCTGTTCATAAAACACGACGTACTTAATTAAAAAACCGACGTCTTATTGAAATAGGATTTTCAAGAGGTAACATCATAGCCAACAAATAATGGCGGAAGTTATGAACCGACCGACGTAGAAAGTAAAGATGACGGTTTCAAAAAAAGCCGTCGTTTTTACCCGGAAATTAACACGACCAAGTTTTCGTATAAGGCGCCGTATAATTACAAATAAATCCACGGCGGTAAAATACAAAATACCGCCGTATTAAATTAATGTACAACTACAGCAAAGGTAAATATAACGACGTCTTTCTCGTATTTCTACGACGACATCTTTAAATCTTACCAAGTTGGGGTTTTCATATAACGATGTATTATAGAATTTAACGTCGTATTTGTCCACTTTATACGTCATACATTATATTTAAACCGTCGTCTAAATAAGAAGTTTTTTTAACAATTTATTTCTTGGATTTTGTTATCCTACGTCAGTAGATCTACTTAACGACAAGAATTGAAATAACCACGACGGTTTATATAGAAAACCGCCGACATAATCAGATTATTCTGAGATCACAAGGGTTAGGAAATCTTACAAGATGGAACTCTGTTGCTCATCATAATCTTACCAGAAAGACAATATTTTAGAGGTTAATGATGTATGTGTATTTGTGTCTTTGAGATACACAAACGCACATACACATTAACATCCAAAAAATTGCTTCTGAAATTTGACGACGGCAGCCTCAGATTTGCAATCAGAGAGACAATTTTTTGGAAGTTGATGATATGTGTGCGTTTGTGTATCTACACAAACGCACGCACACATCAACATCCAAACAATTGCCTCCTAAAATTTCACGACGGCAGCCACAGATTTGCAATCAGAGAGACAATTTTTTGGAAGTGAATGATGTGTGTGCGTTTGTGTATCTACACAAACGCACACACACATTCACATCCAAACAATTGCCTCCTAAAACTTCACGACGGCAGCCACAGATTTGCAATCAGAGAGACAATTTATTGAAAATTGGTGATTTGCAATCAATTTGCAATCAGCCACAGATAACCCAACATTCAAACAATTGCCTCCCAAGAGATGAGGTGAGACAGAGAAAGGGGCAAGAAGAAGTTGAAACCCTAATCGAATACTAAAACTGAAAGAACCCGTGAAAAAAAACCCTATTTATAATTAAAAAACCAAATCCACGTCGGTTATATTACACATAACGACGTTTAACAAAAATAATCCTCGTCGGTAACAAATACATTACGTCGTTTTATTCTTACTTAAGACGACAAGAACAACGACGGTATAACAAAAACAGTCGTTGTTTTATATTTTTATTTGATTTAAATCAGTCACCTAGAAAAGAAACTTTACAAATTCTAGAACATTAATTTCCTCGGGAAAAAAAACTATATCTATAAGGCACTGTTTTGAAAAATAAACTATAAGAAAAAGGGAAAAAAATTATATTTATAATAAAAAAATAAAATCCACGTCGGTTATATTACACATAACGACGTTTAAAAACGAATCCACGTCGTGAAAAAAATAATACGTCGTTTTAGTTTAGTGTTATCCACGTCGGTATATTACAATAAAACGACGTATATTATAAAAATAAACGTCGTAAATTTAAAACAACCGTCGTGTTAAATATTTCTACCATGACGCGAGATATTGAGTTATCGACTTTTATTTAGGAGTTTACTACGGCGGTACCTACAACACTACTGTCGTATTTATGTACCACGTCATAAGTTCAAATTAACGTCGTAGTTTGTCTATTAATACGTCGTCGTTCTATGTAAACCGCCGTCTTATTACTATGAAACGGTTTTTGTATACATATACAACTTTTCGTCTACCTGACTTACACATGCACTGTTTCCAAACCCGAGAAAAAATTTCAATCTCCCAGAGAAAACTTTTCGTCTTTTTCCTTGTCAGAGCACTGTCAGAGTATCTCATCGTCTTCCTCTTGTCTTCGTCGTCGCCTCTGAACTTAAACACCAAAATCCGAGAGAAAGCTTTCATTGCACGCAAAAGGTAAGCTTTCATTTCTCACTATTTTTGTTGCTATTTTGCATGCTCATACTGTTTTTGTTTTGAAAATCTTTTTACCTTTTTTCTGGCGAAAATCATTTTTATTCTTTCCCCAAAAAAAAAAAAAAAAAAAAAAAAAAAAAAAAAAAAAAAAAAAAAAAAAAAAAAAAAAAAAAAAAAAAAAAAAAAAAAAAAAAAAAAAAAAAAAAAAAAAAAAAAAAAAAAAAAAAAAAAAAAAAAAAAAAAAAAAAAAAAAAAAAAAAAAAAAAAAAAAAAAAAAAAAAAAAAAAAAAAAAAAAAAAAAAAAAAAAAAAAAAAAAAAAAAAAAAAAAAAAAAAAAAAAAAAAAAAAAAAAAAAAAAAAAAAAAAAAAAAAAAAAAAAAAAAAAAAAAAAAAAAAAAAAAAAAAAAAAAAAAAAAAAAAAAAAAAAAAAAAAAAAAAAAAAAAAAAAAAAAAAAAAAAAAAAAAAAAAAAAAAAAAAAAAAAAAAAAAAAAAAAAAAAACGGAAATTATGTCGTTACACCAAAATCGTCAACCTTCCTCCACAGTAGTGCAATTTTTAGCAAGAATGTTCAACTTAGGTTGTGTATGACTTGCTAGTCATGGGCATTTGGCTTGTATAAAAGGTATGAACCTTGACACAATGATCCTCCAATTCTTAGATTTTTCTTCTCCCTTCAATTGCTTATGAGCTAAAGTCTTTCAAAAAGTCGGATTTTCAGAGTCAACACCTTCCAACATCGCATAATACTGAAAATAAGGAAAGTAAGGTAATAATGCTATTTTTAATTACTTCCCCTACAAAACCGAAATATAAGAGATATACAAATATAGGAAATATGAACTTATCATTCACACGGAGTCTGTAAATTGCAGTACTTCAATTTGGATATCAATTGTTGAATCTTGGGAGATAGACGCCTATAGAACTGGGAGCCAAGGTATGGGCGAATTTGTCTTTAGGACTTACAATTCTTACAAGCCACACTCGCTAAAGTGTTAGTATTTTCTATTTGTGTTTGTTAATTACCTTATTTCATGTACTTTGTTATTGTATTTGATAATTACAATTTTATTGAGAAATAATTATCTTTAATTCCTATTACCTATTTTCCTCCACCAATTTCTTCACGGTAGACAACTTGTTATTTCCTTCATGCTGCTAAGGAATAGAAATTGCAAGCTTTTGTCCCATTAGAGAGCCCCCACGCGATGCTCTAATGAATATAACTCGTCAAATAAAACTGGGAAGATTTCGTAATTTTATAACCACATAAAAAGAGAGAGACGACCGGCAGTCCAAGACCTCAAGTCAAGTTGTAGTTAATCAACGCGTTCTTCATCAAACCTGTATTAATCTCTATTGGCATTTACCAGCAAGCCCACAACACTCCCACCCCCGTCCAAAATGCACCCAATCCTCCTCTCTCCCATCCTCACCCTCCTCCTTCTCCTCTTCTTCTTCTACTCCGTGGACGCCACGACATCGTTTTCGTCTGAGGAAACACGGAATAAGGAAATCCAGCCAAAGGAAACACCGGTCTGCTCCCAGACTTTCGCCTGTGGCCCGCTCCAAGGCCTCTCATATCCGTTCACCGGAGGGGCGCGCCCTGCCCATTGTGGTCCACCGGAGTTCCACATCAGCTGCGTGGACGACTCGCCCGAGCTGACCATCATGTCGCTGAGGTACCGAGTTCTCGAACTCAACCCAGTTCACAAAAATCTAAGGTTAGTCCGCTCAGACCTCTGGAACTCGACATGCACAGACAAACTCGCCAACACAACTATCAAATCCGAGTTCTTCGCCTACAATGAGAACGACGACGTGGAGGTGTCCATTTTCTACGGCTGTAATTCCTCTACCATTACCCCCAAGCCGAGAATGGTTTCACTGCAACGTCAATCTGCCTTTCCAAGACTCTTATTACTTGATCGGGACGGTCCCGATCGACCAGATTATGAGCGGTGTAAAGTGTAAGATTGAAACTACAGTGCCGATTCTCAAGACCGCGGCTGCGAAGCTCGGTGCCAACAGGTCGCTGTTTCAGGAAGCGATCATGGAAGGCTTTATGTTAACTATACCAACCCTTATGAAAGGAATGCGCTAAATGTCCTAATTTTTAAAACGGGCTGTGGTTTGACCCCCATACTACGAACCGGCCCGTTTGCCTTTGTGGGATGGGGTGTGTGACTTTTCAGGTACCATATTCCACAGCATACGTCCTTGAAGTTTAAATTTTTTCTTATTTTCGTATATTTTTTTAATACAAATAATAGTCTAAAATTATAATAAAGAGAATCTTTTTACAACACGCCATTAATTACAAAGAAAGTTCAAACCGGAGACTACCAGTGATAATTAACTAGGAATTGACTTGACTTTATATTTTTTGTTTCACAGGTGGGATTTAGAAAGATAGCAACAGTAAGCCGTCGTGAATTAGGAATTTCTGGAAATTTTTTACGTAGTGTTTTTGACGATCCGTATCCAAAACTTTATCGTCTTTTAGTTTTGCGAACCTACTTTGCTTTCCTGCTATGAAATACCACAGTCAAATTAAAACGACACGGATTCTTATTGATTTTAATTTGATTAATGATATTTTAATAAGTTATAGAGAGGAAAAAAAAAAAAAAAGCCATGTTCTCAAATTGTGAACATTTGGCAACAAAGTGACTAGATTTAGTGAAATTAGCAACATGTAACTACAAAATGTCTGTTTGGCATGGTCTCTTTTTTTAATCAAGGATTATACACATATTCATTTATTGATTTACATTTCTCTATCTTGTGATTGTTTCAGGAGAAGGCATTGGGGTGCTGCTCGGTTGATTTTCATAATCCTTTTTTTTACTATATGCATATCAAGGAAAGAATAATGGCCTTCCTCAAGAGAGATAAGAGGGATGTGTTTGATGTTGAGGCATTTATAAGGAACTATGGATCGCTTACTCCCAAGCGGTATACCTATGAAAATGTCATGAAAATGACAGACTCTTTCAGAGACAAAATAGGTAAAGGTGGATATGGAACTGTGTACAAAGGCAGGCTACCTGATGGGCTTCTGGTGGCGGTCAAAGTCCTAAGCGAGTCCAAGGGTAATGGAGGAGAAGATTTTATTAATGAAGTTGCTAGCATTGGTAGAACCTCCATGTCACATAGTCACTCTTTCTGGATTCTGTTACGAGGGGACAAACGAGCTTTGATTTATGAATACATGCCTAATGATCTCTGGATAATTCATACATAAGCACGGATCTGGAATGGCAAATTTTCGCTTAGAATGGAAAACACTATCTGAAATTGCAGTTGGTATTGCGCGAGGACTAGAATACCTACACTGTGGATGTAACACAAGAATTTTGCATTTTGACATCAAGCCACAGAACATTCTTTTGGACAAATATTTTTGCCCGAAAGTTGCTGATTTTGGCCTAGCCAAACTATGCAAAACGAAGGACAGTATTATATCAATGATGGGTACAAGAGGAACTGCAGGATACATTGCACCAGAAGTGTTTAGTCGGAACTTTGGAGGAGTATCTCACAAATCTGATGTTTACAGCTACGGGATGTTGGTTCTTGAAATGGTTGGAGCAAAAAAGAATTTGGATTCGGGAGTGTCTCATACGAGTGAAATGTTTCCACATTATGTTTATAAAGATCTAGAGCTAGATAAGGATGAAAATATATTTGGGGATCCGGATATATCTGAGGAGGAAAAAGAAGTAGCAAGAAAGATGATATTAGTAAGTCTGTGGTGCATTCAACCCTCCCTTCTGTTAGGCCATCAATGAGCAAAGTTGTAGAGATGTTGGAAGGACCCCTTCATTCTTGCAAATTGCACCAAAGCCTTTGTTGTTTTCTCCTACAATAGCTGCAGAAGACCTGTGACCACATCCCAACCATCTGAATGGACTAAGGCAATTAGTTTCATTAGAAGATCTCTTGTATTAGGAAATGCCAGTTGAATTGAAAGAAGTTGGCTTGGTGAAAATGAAACCGTTTTTGATTAACCGAAAACTCGAATGAAAGCTGTTTTCATTAATTCTACTGTTTTTGTATAAGATAAAAAGTATATTATGAAATTATTTAGAAACTTTGTTTGCAGCCACTCTCCCCTTCGAGTGGAGTGTATCCATCCCATTCTCACGGATATGCTCAAGCCTACGACGCAACAGATTGGAATCCTCTCTGTGTTTTCAGCAACTTTGTATCTTTTCTAATTTTGAAAGCAGGAGTACCACCACAAGCTAGTTGGTCGAAAAAAAAATATTCAAAAGATCCACCATTGAAATCTTGGCAGAACCATGTATCTATGAAAATGCGAAAGTCTTAGAGCACTTCCACCCATAAGGGCTAAGTCTAAGGCAAGGGCAAGCAAGGGCTGCCACTATTCACGTGAATAGTGTCAGCCTTTGATTTGTGGTTCCACCCATGAAGGCAAAGTCTAGGGCAAGTCTAAGGCAATACTATTCATTGTACTTTATTTCCTATTTTTTTTATACTTCAAACCATTAATTTTGATATAATCTTTTGTAATTAAATTTTCGGATAATATTTCACCCTCTAAAATTGTGCCACGTGTACCATGTCAGATATTTAAAAAAAATTATAATCTCAGATTTCAGATAAGATTTCACCCTCTAAAATTGTGCCACGTGTCACATGTCATATACGATTTTCAGATATTTAAAAAAAAATTATAATCTCAATTTCAGATAAGATTTTCACCCTCTAAAATTGTGCCACGTGTCCCATGTCAGATAAGATTTTCAAATATTTTTAAAAATTATAATCTCATATTTCATATAAGATTTTCATCCTCTAAAATTGTGCCGCATGTCATCTCTATCTTCTAAATCCCTCTATAAATTACTCCATCAACTCATACCTCTCACCATCTCTTATCTATTCCTTCATTTCTCAGATTTTACAAAACACATTCTACTCTCAATGTCAAACTTGTCGAGGGTATGTTGAGAGGCAACAGAAAAAGGGAAGAAATCCGGCGTACGTGCTCAAGAAGATCGGGACGCCGATGAAGAAGAGGAACAAATGCTTGCAGCAGCGGTGTGTATGATGGTCAATTAAGGCAACACCGTCGTCGTCGTGCCCCAAATGTGACAGACGTAGGGAGTCTCGGGTAAGAATCTCATGGAGGATTATTTTATCCCAAATTCGTTATATCCTCCTGCTTCTAAGTTTCAAGATATAGAATGCAGCCACATTTGTTCCAAAAAATCATGCATGATATTTGTAATTACGACACATACTTCATTCAAAAGCATGATGCTGTTGGAGCTTTGGGTCTTATCCTGGAGCAAAAACTTACAGCTGCTTTGCGATGCTTGCTTATGGGGCATCTGCAGAGCAGTGGATGAGATTGCAAAGGATGGAAAATCTACTATCCTAGAGTGCTTGGTGAGATTCTGTGATGTAGTGGAAAATTTGTACACGAGGGAGTACCTTCGCAAACCCACGCCGAGGGACCTGCAACGGCTTCTACAAAAAGGCGAGGCTAGAGGTTTCCCAGAATGATTGGAAGCATCGATTGCATGCACTGACAGGGGAAGAACTGTCCTACTGCTTGGCAAGGAGAGTACGGGAATCGGAAGGGCCAAAAAAGTATAATTTTGGAGGCCGTAGCTTCATTCGACTGTTGGTTTGGCATGCCTTCTTCGGGGTTGCCGGATCTCAAAATGACCTTAATGTCCTTGGTCAATTCCCGGTGTTCGACGAGGTATTGCGAGGTCATTCCCCCCAGGTCACGTACCAAATCAACAATACCGTATACTTGGTGCGTACTACCTTGCTGACGGAATTTTATCCTAGGTGGACGACATTCGTGAAAACAATTCCGAATCCCCAATCCGAGAAGGAAAGAAGGTTTGCTTCCTTTCAAGAAGGTTACAGGAAAGACGTGGAGAGGTGTTTCGGTATCTTGCAAGCTCGTTGGGCAATTATTAGGGTGCTGCTCGGATGCTAGATGAGGAGGTGATGCAGAGTATTATGATGACTTGCATCACCCTCCCACAACATGATTGTGGAGGATAAGTGTGACTACGATGCTCCAGAGGTGTTTGAACCCGATCCCATGAACACGTCATTGACAAGAATATATGAAAGGCCGATTGGACCAAATGGACTACCCCTAGAGCCCGAACTGTTATTTCGGTATGGTCAATTCAACAACCCCATGATTGATCGGTATGAAGAAATGCAATCTACATATGTTCACGAGATACTTGGTCGAGCACTTGTGGGAGATGAAAGGCAATCACAATGGATGAAGTCAAGATTAGTGCTTTGTTTGGAATTATGCTTTGTTTTTAATTAGCTTTATTTTGTGTGTGTGTTTTTTTGGAATTATGCTTTTTATTATTATTATGCTTTTATGTATGGTTTGTTTTTGTGTGTTGTTTGCAATAAATGAAGGTTTTTTTTAATTAATATTTGTTTGATGCTCAAATGTTTTTAATAAAAAGTCATTTATTTAATGCTTTTTTTATTGAATAAAAAGGAAACAATACAACAAATTAAAGGATAATACAACAATACAACATATGGCAAAGGTGTTTCAATACAACCTAATGGTTTTCATCATTTAACCAATCCGTATTGCTAGGTCCGTCGTCATGGAAAAGTTTTCTTCTCATCACATCTCTTCGTCGTAGCTTCCAATAGGCCTTTGTTTCGGGAGACATATGGCTCGTATCCATGGCCATGATTTTCATCTCTCTATCATCTATGTCTTTTTCTTGTGCCTTCTGCTGTTGAATAACAAATGCTTCCTCTCGTGCCACGTCCCATTTCATCTCTTTTCAAGTCTCTCTCCATTCTTAGTGAGGTGCTCTTAGCTATTTGCTCCAATAACTGTACACATTCATTGGTCGAAGTGCCCCTTCTCTTGGCCTTTGCCGCTTTCTCCCAATAGGTCTCGGCGGACGTGGCACAAATGGTGACTCCGTTTCCATTGGAGAGTCCAATGGCGAATCGGTTGATGTCGAATCGTGGAGTGGCGTCTCATTCATCACAACCAACTGACCGGTGGGAATAATTTTTGAATCTGGAACAATCCTTCACAATTTCCCAACAATGGAAATGCATGAAACATTTTTTGCCTTGCCCCATGGCACCGAACCACATTTGTGCTTGTATGATCTATTAAAAATAAATAATTGGAAGTGCAAGAAACAAAAATTATTATGCAAGAAAATATAAACTATTTTGAAATGCAAAAATAAATTGATTATGCAAGAAAATATAGACAAATTAAAGGAGCACCAAAAAAAAAATATATATATTATGCAAGAAAAACAAATAGAATATGCAATAAAAAAAAAGTGACATTGAATTGATTAAAATGGCAATTATAAATATTTTACCTCATCGGTCAAATTTTGACCGCTTCGAATGTTCGCCTTTGCTTTTGTCAAGGCATTTCTCCATTTCCCTAACTCTTTATTCAGAAGTTTCCATCTACTAGACAAGGCCATTTCGGTCCGAATAGAACCCGATCTTTGACAAAATTCTCCATGAATTTTGCTCCACATGTGATGAAACTTCATCTCATTGCCCGTGATAGGGTCATGACTAATTTTCACCCAAGATTGACACAACGCAATATCTTCATTCGTTGACCACGAGCCTCCGATTTCGACAGAAGATGCCATTTGTTTTTTTTTATACAAATGGAAAGTAGTAGAAAAATGTGAGTGGAGAGTAAAAATATTGGAAGGAGAAGAGTTTGTATGGAGAATTGGTGTGGAAGTGAAAATGTGAGTGGAGATAAAAAATATTGGAAGGAGAAAAGTTTGTATGGAGAATTGGTGTGGAAAGTGAATAATGTGAGTGGAGAGTAAAAAATATTGGATGGAGAAGAAATTGTATGAAGATTTAGTGTGGAAAGTAAATAAAATGGTTAGGTATTTATAGGGAAAAAATACAGAATTTTTGGGTATTTTTTTAAAAAAAATTTCAGAATTTTTTCGAATTTTTTTGCAATTTTTTTAGGCAAAAAAACGAGGACCGTCGGATTTCTGGAAAAGAAAACCATCCGAGAGTCCCTGTCGCGCCATGTGGCAAATGCCCGTTGGAGGCTATCAGGTGTGACGTCAGCGCTGGCGTCACGCTGACGTCAGCGCTGGAGTCACGCTGACGCTAGTGCATGGAAGTCAAATTTTTTTACCGTTGGCGCAGTAAAAAAATTTGAATTACCGTGCGCTGGCGTCAGCGTGACGCCAGCGCTGACGTCACAAGACTCGGGCTTCAGCCCAGGCGAGACTTGCCCTTGGGCTCTCCCGGGCTGGTGGGACCCACCACGAAACTGGGCTGCATCTGCTGCGCTGGAGGTGTCTTGGGCTCGCCAGGGCTGCCTTTCCCCCAGTTTGGGTCTGGCGCTAGAGATGCTCTTATGTCCCATTCGTTGAATATTTCAAAGGCCTACAACTGAAAACCAAATATGCATCCCCTGCTGCTTCCATGTCGCTTTTTCTATTTTTGAATCTGTATTGGTTTCTCTCACCCTGAGCCTTCCCAACAAATATGCATCCCCTACTGCTTCAATCGTTGTTTCCTTTGCTTTTGATCACTTCCTTTCTTCGGTCAAAGTTGAGTTAAGTCTAGGCCAAGACAATGAAAAATACGCAAATTGCGGTGAAGATATTAACTGCGGTGGCGTTGGAGGCATCACGTACCCCTTCTGGGGAGTAAACTGGGCTAATTACTATGGTCTTCCAGGGTTCGAGGTCAAATACGTAGACAATACCCCCATGATCAACATGTCAAATATCAATTATAGAATTCTTAAAATGAACTCTATTGCTTCGTCTGTTACAGTTGCTAGGCAGGACTATTGGGAAACTATCTGTCCTCGTACTTATGTCAACACCAACATCAACTTCTCTCTGTTTAGTTATTCTTCTGAGGTTACAAACCTGACCTTTTACCACGGGTGCAATACAAGTGTCCCAGGGCTTACTTCTAGTTCCCAAGTTTGCAGTGCGAACAATGGTAACATCACTGTTTCGTATGCCACACAAAGTCCCCCAAGTGATCCAGTTGCTAATGGCGCTTGTGAAAATGGGGTCATTGTTCCGGTTTTTAGAACAGCTGTTGTGGCTCTAGAGGCTAATCAAATGACTATTGGCGAAGCAGTAGATGGGGAATCTGAATTGGACTTGGAGATTGATGATGATCAATGTAACCGTTGTGTGGAATCAGGAGGGAAGTGTGGGCTTAACACTACTAAAGGTGGATTCAGTTGCTTTTGCCATTTGTAATACAACTTCACTCGGACGACAAGGTATGCCTGCCCTTTGTCATTTTCTTATAAATTACGGATTATGAGTAAGATGTTAGAAGATTTTGAAGTCATTGAATTCCAGGATTGGTGTTATCCACACTTTTTATTATATTACATCCTAGCTAGCTACCTTGGTTTGTGATTAGGCTGGTCTGCCAAAACCGGGGTCGGGAATTGGGAATTCTGTGCTATGTAGTCCATGTGAAAGTAGGAAGAGTCCATGTTAGTTATAGCCAACTATCTGCAGAAACAGAAAATAAAAACTGCTGAACTTCACATATACAAGCACTACTACAAAAGTGACAAAGACGACCAGAAAAAAACGACGGTCTAAGGGAAAACCGTCGTTGTTTTTTAAAAGACGACGGTTCTATAAAACCGCCGTGTAATAACACCTTAGACACCTAAAAAATGGAGATTCCAATGGTTGTTCATAAAAGACGACGCACCTAATTAAAAAACCAACGTCTTATTGAAATGGGATTTCCGCAGACTAAACTCTAAGCCAACAAAGAACGGCAGAAGTTATGAATAGACCGACGTAGAAAGTATAGACGACGATGTCAAAAAAGCCGCCGTTTTTACTCAGAAATTAACATGACCAAGTTTTCGTATAAGGCGCCGTATAATTACAAATAAATCCACGGCGGTATAATACAAAATACCGCCGTATTAAATTAATGTACAACTACGGCAAAGATAAATATATCGACGTCTTTCTCGTATAGTTCTACAACGGTATCTTTAACTCTCACCACGTTGGGGTTTTTCATTTAACGACGTATTATAAAATTTAACGTCGTATTTATTCACTTTATACGTCATACCTTATATTTAAACCGTCGTCTTAATAAGAATTTTTTTAAACAATTTATTTCTTGGATTTTGTTATCCTACGTCGGTAGATCAACTTAATGACAAGAATTGAAATAACCACGACGGTTTATATAGAAAACCACCGACATAATCACATTTTTCTGAGATCCCAAGGGTTACAAAATCTTACCAAATGGAACTCTGTTCCTCATCATAATCTTACCAGAAAGACAATATTTTAGAGGTTAATGATGTATGTGTATTTGTGTCTTTGAGATACACAAACGCACATACACATTAACATCCAAAAAATTGCCTCTGAAATTTGACAACGGCAGCCTCAGATTTGCAATCAAAGAGACAATTTTTTGGAAGTTGATGATGTGTGTGTTTGTGTATCTACACAAACGCACACACACATCAACATCCAAACAATTGCCTCCTAAAATTTCACGACGGCAGCCACAGATTTGCAATCAGATAGACAATTTTTGAAAATTGGTGATGTGTGTATGTTTGTGAATTAGATACACAAACATACACACACACCAAAATTCAAACAATTGCCTCCTAAGAGGTGAGGTGAGACAGAGGAAAGGGCAAGAAGGAGTTGAAACCCTAATTGAAAACTAAAACTGAAAGAACTCATGAAAAAAAATCTATTTATAATTAAAAAATCAAATCCACGTCGGTTATATTACACATAATGACGTTTAACAAAACGAATCCACGTCGCGAAACAAATATATTGCGTCGTCTTAGTCTCAGAGCAAAAAACCAACGATAGAATCAATTAAGTAATGACGTAGAAATTAAAGACGTCGGAAATTATAAACCTACTGTCATCTTATGACAAAAAACGACGAGGGTAGAACAAAAAACCGTCGTTGTTTTTATATTCGTATTTGATTTAAATCAGTCACCCAAACAAGAAACTTTACAAATTCTAGAATATTAATTTCCGTCATTTAAATTTCCTCTGGAAAAAAAACTCTATTTATAACGCACTGTAATTGAAAACTAAAACTGAAAGAACTCGGAAAAAAAAACTCTATTTATAATTAAAAAATCAAATCCACGTCGGTTATATTACACCTAACGACATTTAACAAAAAGAATCCACGTCGCGAAACAAATATATTGCGTTGTCTTAGTCTCAGAGCAAAAAATCAACGACAAAATCAATTAAGTAACTGACGTAGAAATTAAAGATGTCGGAAATTATAAACCTACCACCATCTTACAACAAAAAAGACGATGGTAGAACAAAAAACCGTCGTTTTTATATTCGTATTTAATTTAAATCAGTGACCCAAACATACAAATTCTAGAACATTAATTTCCGTCATTTTAAATTTCCTCGGGAAAAAAAACTCTATTTATAATTAAAAAATAAAATCCACGTCGGTTATATTACACTTAACGACGTTAACAAAAAATAATCTACGTCGGTAATTATAAACCTACCGCCATCTTACTATAATATACTACGACGACAAAAAACACGACGATAGAACAAAAAACCGTCGTTGTTTCAAATTTGGTCTGTTCTCTTTCTGCAGGACTTGGATAGTTCAAAGCATTGACAATGTCTTTACAAATTCGATTGCTCAGGCTTTAGTGGCCATCTGAAGCCATTTCTATTCTTTATCGCATTCTTGAAAACTCATCTTCTTCGTCTGAAGCTCTACGGATAAAGGAACAGGCTATCACAAATATGACGGATCTTCTTAGCCAAGAAAATCGAGCAGAGGATCAGGCACATCTGATCTTTACATTTCCCTTTGCAAAGAAATGGCGCAGCGGACCCGTGTTGAGAAGCGAACTTTCCTTCGACAGCGAGTGGAGGCCAGGCTTGCATCTCTTTTGATGGAAAGCAAGGAGTATTCAGAAGCACTAAGTCTCCTATCAGGCCTGATCACGGAAGTGAGAAGTCTAGATGACAAGCTTCTTCTTGTGGACATAGATTTGTTGGAGAGTAAGCTCCATTTCTCTTTGAGAAAGACATCCAAATTATTGTCTTTGAGAGGTGAGAGAGAGTGTCTGTGAGAGAGGAAGAACTTGGAACCCTAAATGAAAACTGAAACTAAAAGAAAGCGACAAATTTATACAATAAATTTTTAAAACCCACGGCGGTCATTACACACAAACCGCCGTTTAATTTTAAAATCAACGTCGGTTGTTATTTAATATACGTCGTATATTATAAAAATCCACGTCGGTATATTAAAAAAACGACGTGTTAAATCCTTGTACCATGACGCGAGATATTAATTTATCGACTTTTATTTTGAGATTACTACGACGGTACCTACAACACTATTGTCGTATTTATTTACCACGTCCTAAGTTCAAATTATCGTCGTAGTTTTTTATTTATACGTCGTCGTTCTTTGTAAACCGCCGTCTTATTTGTACGAAACGGTTTGTGTATATATTCAACTTTTCGTCTACCTGACTTACACATGCACTGTTTCCAAACCCGATAAAAAATTTCAATCTCCGAGAGAAAACTTTTCGTCTTTTTTCCTCGTCAGAGAACTGTCAGTGTATCTCATCGTCTTCTCTCGTCTCCGTCGTCTTCTCTGAACTTAAACACCAAACTCCGAGAGGAAGCTTTCATTGCACGCAAAAGGTAAGCTTTCATTTCTCACCATTTTTGTTGCTGTTTTGCATGCTCATACGGTTTTTGTTTTGAAAATCTTTTTACCTTTTTTCTGGCCAAAATCATTTTAATTCTTTCCAAGTTTGATAAAATATACAGACAAAGAGGGAAAGTTTCCAACTTTGAACACAACTACTTCAACTAAATAAGACGACGGTAGCTTCTTATTTACGTGGTTAAATATGTAGACCACGACGGTTCATCAGTCACCCTAGCGTCGTCTGAAAATTGATCTAAGTTGTTTTTAAAATGACCGTCGTTTTTTTATTGCTTGTTTGATTGCAGGTTTGATTTCTCTGAACCATGGTTTTTGTTTTTCCTAATTTGATAAAATACAAAGAAAAGAAAGTAGGGTTTGGGATCTTATATAGACGACGGTATCTTATTATTCACATTGTGTGAATGTTAATACCACGACGTTGTACTAAGATACCGTCGTCTATATAAGATTCCAAAACCTTCTTTCTTTGTCTTTGTATTTTATCAAATTAGGAAAAACAAAAACCATGGTTCAGAGAAATCAAACCTGCAATCAAACATTCACAGACAAAGAAAGAAGGGTTTGGAATCTTATATAGACGACGGTATCTTATTATTCACGTCGTGTTAATTTTAATACCACGACGTTATATTAATATTAACGTCGTTTGAATTTAAATATCACGACGGAGTGTAAATATCGCCGTAATAATTTCTTATTACGTCTTCTTTTATATTGTTTCGTCGTTGTTTAAGTACCATCGTTTTAAACATTTATTACGTCTGATGTTATGTTATTGCGTCGTGTAAAATCTTATCATACGTCGTGTTTTATGAATAACCGTCGTTTGTGTTCTTAATTTTTTCCTGAAATATTTTCACTTGCAAGTTTGATTTGTTTGTAACCATGGTTTCTCAAGACCAAAGTAAGGACTCTGGCTCGAAAAAAAATGGAGCTAAGGAGCTTGGAATGGTAACTCCTCAAGACAAGTCCTTGAAGAAGATGAAGTTTGTTTCATCTGCTGAGACAGAACCAGCCAGCACGACAACAATTTCTGAGGATTCAAAGTCAGGTTGAGGTATGAGCACAATGCCTCTTGTTGTGAAGAGAAAATTTCAGAAAATCAAGCCAGTTGTTGAGTACAATAAAAGGGGGAAAGGATGTGGCCCTGCACATACTGAGATGCAATCTTACATTGGTGTGTTGGCACGCTCCAAATTCCCACTTGTGGACAAGAAATGGGCTAAAATCCCCAAGGATATAAAGGAGCATATTTGGGAAGCCGTTGACATGGCTTTTGTGGTAGGTCAAGGGGGCAAGAACCTGGTGTTATCTTCTGCTGCCAAGAAATGGAAGGAGAAATTAAGCCAACCCCCTGAACTATATAAATTCATAGAGAAAGCAGCATGGGATGCCTTTGTGGCTTCAAGGTTATCCCAAGAATTTGTGTCTGTGCATTCTCAACATTCAAAGATTAGGGAGAAACTTGAGTACAATCATCGATTGTCTCGAAAAGGATATGTTGGTTTGGAGGATCAATTGGAGGAAACCATGCCTGGGGTAGAAATTGATCGATCTACCTTATGGAAGAAAGCTAGACAAGACAAAGATGGTAACATCCTGATCCAAAGGTGGCAGAGAAAGCAAAATTAATTGTAAGCCTACTCACTCTGTTTTAAATTTTTATTAAACTCTGTATTGCCCTGATAATTCTTATTACGTCTTATGTTATATTTACCGTCGTGTGAATGATATTACTACGTCGATATGTTTTAAAAAACGTCGTTATAGGTTTGAATTTGGAATCACTACTCTGTCTTTGTAATTATAGCATAAGACGTCGGTGTTTTATTTATTGCGTCGTTTGAATATATTACTACGTCGAGATGTTTTAAAAACGTCGTTACATGTCCGAATTTGGAATCGCTACTCTGTTTTTTGTAATTATAGCATAAGACGTCGGTGGTTTATTTATTGCGTCGTTTGAAACAACTAACCACGTCGTTCTTTAAGTAACGTCGTTATAAATATATTATAACGTCGATTTCTATGTTATTGCGTCGTGTGAAATTATATAATACGTCGTTTGTTTATAAATAACCGTCGTGTGTTTTCTTGTGCTGACTTTTTTATATGTCTTTGTTTTAGGATGAATTGCAAAAACAAGTCGCTGAAGGCAGTCTCAGTGTATCTGGCAGTAATGATGTGTTGACCTTGGCTTTGGGTCCCGAGCATCCAGGGAGAGTAAGAGGGTTAGGTGCTGGGATTTCCCCTAGGCAATACTTCAATTTACCTAGACAACAGAGGGTAAAGTTTGCCGATCAATTGAAGGAAAGTGTAAGAATTGTCCTTCAAGAAGAGACTAAGAAGATGGAAGCTAGATCAAGGGAAGAGACTTTAAGGATGGAGGCTAGAACCAAGCAATTGGTAGAGGCTGAGAGGGAACATTTACTGAGTCAGCTTTCCCAACTCATCCCCAATTTTGATCCAAGCATGCTTAAACCGAAAACTAGCCCCTGTCAAAACCAAGGTCTAGAGCAAAGTCCCAAAAATCCAATGTCTGACAAAGCAAGCTGCTCTGGGGATGTGAGATCCCTACATTTTGAGGATGATACTGCCAAAAATGGGGAAAAGCAGGAAGAAATGGTAACATATCTGAACTTTGAATTCTCTGTTTTTTAAAAGAGCTATTAGACGTCGTTATTATGAAGCAAACCGTCGTTTGAAATACATACCACGACGATTTTATTAATAAACCATCGTTTGTATTTCAATACAACGTCGTATTTAGTTTACTTGTTTTACACGCCATTAGACGTCGTTATTTTTGAAAACTTTTGTGGTGATTTAGACGACGGTTTTAGTCCTTACTGACGTAACATATGAATCCCCACGACGTTTATTATTTACCATCGTTTAATAATTTTAAGACGTCCATAATTTTTACATACCGTCTTAAGCTATGCCTTACCACGACGTTTTGATTTAATTTTTTTACTTTCTATACAATCTGTCTTATATATATATTATATATTTCTTTTTTACTTAAAACAAAAATCTGGGGATTTAGAAAATCAAGATGAAGAGAAGAAAGAAGAAAAAAAAGTTGAAGAGAATAAAGAAGAAAAAAAGATGAAGAAAATAAAGAAGAAAAAAAAGAAGATGAAGAAAAGCATGATGAAAAGGTATATTCTCATAACTTTGCCTTTTTTATTTGTTTTTCAAATTTCAGACGTCGATAGTTTCTTTAAACCATCGTTTGTTTTCAAATTAGACGTCGTAATTTGTTTCCTATGACGTAATAAAGTATTCAGCACGATGGTCTTTTGTTACCATCATTTAAATTATTATCAGATGACGTTGTTTTCTTTAACCCTTTCGTGTTTATTGAATTACCACGTCATTTTATTTTGCTTTATTTCTTTAAACAAGGTATTGAAGTAGCTGATTATTCAAAGGTGGAGGTGCCATCTTCCTTACAATCCCTTTGTCGTTATGTGGAAACCACACTAAAGCCTCAGGAGAAGATCATGACCTTTACAATTGGGAAGGAGGTGTTTGGTGCAGATCGCAGTACCTTCGTCTTGCCTGAAGATATTACACACTTAGCAGGCATGGAAGAAATTGGGGCTACTGTGCTTGCAGTATATATGAGGTTTGTCCTTATCAAATATTTATTTCACACTCAAATTTGTGTTGAAAAAAAAAATCATTATAGCATAAGACGTCGGTGGTTTATTTATTGCATCGTTTGAAACTACTAACCACGTCGTTAGTTATGTACCATCGTTATAAATTAAGTATAACGTCAATTTCTATTTCATTTCGTCGTGTGAAATTGTATAATACGTCGTTTTTTATAAATAACCGTCGTGTCTTTTTTGTGCTGACTTCTTTATATACCTTGTTTTATATATTTAGGTTCTTATATGATCATTTGAAAGTAGCAAATATGCTCAACATGGTTGTCTTTATCGACCCTGCTCAAGTTAGTGCCAACGCTGGGTCACTAACTGACAAATCACGAATTGTAGCCAGTCGAATCAGAAGACAGATGGTGAACAGATTTTCATGATGCCTTACAATCCAGGGTTAGTCTCCTTAACAGGATTTTGTTTGTATGATGCACTGCGTATAAAACTGTTTAACTAATTTTGTGCCGTTTGAAATATCTAACCACGTCGGTTCTTTATTTATTGAGTCATTTGAAACGACTAACCACGTCGTTAGTTAATTACCGTCGTGATAAATTTATAATGACGTCGATTACTACATTATTTCGTCGTGTGAAACTATATAATACGTCGTTTTTACAAATAACCGTCATTTGTTTTCTTGTGCTGACTTTTTTATATATCTTTGTTTTATATTAATTTTGTGCAGTCGTCATTGGGTCTTGCTGATTGTGAGAGCGAAGAAGGAAACCGTCTATTTTCTGGATCCTCTGCTTGGAAATCGTGTGGTTAATGAGAAGGCCAAAAACATGGTGAACAGTGCTATAAAAATTTATAATTCCCACATAGGCAGACAAGGTCGTAAAGCACCCATTTGGAAAACTCTACCAGGCACACCAAAGCAACCCAGCAGTATCAAATGCGGGTATTATGTCATGCGCTTCATGAGAGACATCATCATGGATCCTTCCCTGGAGTTTGAGAAGACGGTAAGAATAAAATTTTCAGATACATTTTATGTGGTTTTTTGTATTATCAACGACGGTCCTTTAAAATTACCGTCGTTGAATCGATATACTACGTCGGTTATGAAAATAACGTCGTCTGTGATTGAATTTCTTTTTATTTATAAAGCTTAATAATCATTGTTTATGGGTTGCAGTTTGCTAAGGGAAAAGAGCAAGCGCCATACCCCCAAGCAGCCATTGATGAAGTCAGGAATGAATGGGCAGAGTTTGTTTGCCTTCATGTGGACTAGAGGATTTTTAGAACACTTGATATTTTTATATAAGGTACAAATTTTGTCTATAATATATAATGTACAAATTTTGTCTATAATATACATCCGTTTTTTCCCTGAAAATTTGTTGAGGTTTTCTTAATTTTTTAAAAAAAACACAAATTGCGTAACCGACGTGTAATAGTTTGAAACAAAACCGACGTAAAAGGATATTTAGACGACATGTATGACGTGGTAATTAAATTACACGGCGACACCTTTTTTGTTTAAGTCGTGATATAACGTTTGTACGTCGATAGGACGTCGTTTTAGTGAAAATTTCGCCATGGTTTCGCTTTTAAACGACGTCCTTTCAACAAGTAAGTCGTTTATTATATTTACAACGTCGTTACTTTCTTAAAGTGGACGTGGTTTGTTGTGTTTGTAGGAATATTTTATTCTATTTCATTCAAAATATTCATAATAAATATAAAATAGATCAAAAAAATGCAACGTCAACTCCTATGAAGTCATTGATATATTTTCTTCCCCCTAAACCTTAAAAAAATTTAGTTTGAGTAAGACAAATTTAAAATGACCACCCAAAAATAAATTGTTTTGATGAGTCATAACATCACATGTAGTTTGATGGTTTAGCGTTTAGGGTTTAGGGTTGTTATTTATTAGGGTTTAGGATTAAAGGATAATTTTTGGGGTTTACGGTTTATGTTTGTTATATATTAGGCTGTAAAACCCTAAACCCTTTTATAAATTATATTTTAAAAATATATAATTTAGGGTTTAGGGTTTAGGGTTTAGGGTATTACTTTTTAACAACGGTGATTGAGTCGTGGAATATTGAGTTTACGTCGGATGGTGAAACATCCGCCATGGTTTCTCTTTTAAACGACGTCCTTTTTACAAGTGAGTCGTTTATTATGATTTACAACGTCTTTAATTTATTAACCCCGACGTGGTTTGTAGTTGATATAAGAATATTTTATTATTTTTAATTCAAAATATTCAAAATAAATCCAAAAAATGAAACGTCAACTCCTATGAAGTCATTGATATATTTTCTTCCCCCTAAACCTTAAAAAAATTCAGTTTGAGTAATACAAATTTAAAATGACCACCCAAAAATAAATTGTTTTGATGAGTCATAACATCACTTGTAGTTTGATGGTTTAGGGTTGTTATTTATTAGGGTTTAGGATTAAAGGATAATTTTTGGGGTTTACGGTTTAAAAGACGTTATATATTATATTGTAAAACCATAAACCCTTTTTATAAAACTATATTTAGTAATATATAATTTAGGGTTTAGGGTTTAGGGTATTATTTTTTAACGACGGTATTTATGTTTTCAGTCGATGTTTACTTTTTTGACGACGGTGTTTATGTTCCTTTAAAATGACGTTGTACATGAATAACAACGTCATCGATTTTAAAAAAAAACATAAAAGGTTATTCAAACGACGCTATTGGTTCAACAGACGACGTGGTTTCTTTAAAATAAACGGCGTTGAGTTCAGTGTTTGAGTCGTGGAATAATGAATTTACGTCGGTTGTGGTAAAACTTTCGCCATGGTTCTCTTTGTTTTGACGACTTCGATTGTTTTTTTCGTCGATGTTTAAAGAGCGCGCTTTCCAAAAAAAATTTGCGCGACCTAAAATTTTCAGTTTCGCTCTAAGTCTTAACTTGTAACCTAAACCCTAAAATTTTCAGATTCGGGCAACATAACATTTCGCTCTCTCCCTTAATCTCTAATTCAAAGTTTGGCTCTCCAGGCTCCGTCGAATCCAAGTAGGCCATAATCTGTGAGCTCTGCCAACCTGTAAGTACAAACCCTTATTTTCCCCTTGTAAATTCATTGAATGATATTAGGTTGTTTTGTTAAAGGGTTTTAGATATATGTTGTGCGATCTTTTAGTAATGTGTTGGAGGTATGGGTTCATGGATTTTCTGTTTAATGTTTTCATGATCACTCTCTGTTATGTTGAATAGGGAATGGATTTATTGTTTCATGCTTAGTATATGTTGTTTCATGCTTGGTTTCATGCTTAATACCCAACATAAAAACTAATGTATATGTTGTGTTCTTAATAGGGTTTTGGGTTCTTGAAAATAAACTGGGATATCGACGCCTTTTTAGGCATACGACAACGGTTTTTTAATAAACCGTCGTCTGTATTACTTATACACGACGATGTTCTTTATCTACCGTCGTGGTTATAATTAGACCACGTCTATATATGTCAAATACGTCTGTTTTGTTTAAAAACCGTCGTCTGTGTAGTATATTACTTGCTATTAAAACTTTATATAATTTGCTATAGTGATGGTCATTGCTTGTCTTTTCACTTTATTATAGATAATAAGGTATAGTGTCGGAGATGGATAAGTCATGGATGCACTCGGATAGAAGATCGAAGGCATATGAGTTAGGGTGGAAGCATTTTTGAACTTTTTTGTAGAAAATCTTCTAACTACAACACATATCCGTTGTCCATGTGTTAAATGTGTTAATTTGAAATTGTTTGGGGTTGGAATTATAAGGGATCACTTATACTTTAATGGAGTTGACCAAAGCTATAAGAATTGGACATTTCACGAAGAACCCTTGGGAAGCAACTACTAATGCTAGTAGAAATGTTGAAGAAGATGATGACCATAGTAGGTACAGTTTTGTGTCTGAAGAAATAGAGATGGATGATAATGATTTTGGTGATTTTGGATCCGATCCTTATGAGTTTGCCAATGTGATTGGGGATGGAGATCAACCATTGTACCCTGGTTGTAGAAAGTACACGAAGTTATCAGCATTAGTGAAGTTGTATAATTTGAAGGCAAAACATGGGATGAGTGATGTCTGTTTTACAGAATTATTGATACTTCAAGGCAATTTGCTTCCAGAAGGAAATACAATATCGGCCTCTATGTATGAGGCAAAAAAGACTTTGTGTGCATTGGGGCTGAGTTATGAGAAAATGCACGCATGCCCCAATGATTGCATCTTGTATAGGAAGGAGTATGAAGATTCAACTAATTGTCCTACTTGTGGTATCTCAAGGTGGAAGGAAGGCAAAGATTCAATCTTGAAAGAGGGTGTGCCAGCGAAGGTGGTGTGGTATTTTCCTCCAATTCCAAGGTTTAAAAGAATGTTTCGATCACATGAGACGGCTAAGAGTTTGACTTGGCATGCTGCTAGAAAATCAATTGACGGTCAAATGTCTCATCCGGCGGATTCCCCGTCTTGAAAACTTCTGATGATAAATGGCCCGAGTTTGGTAATGAGCCGAGAAACTTGAGATTGGCTCTTTCATCTGATGGATTCAATCCCACAGTTCTCTAAGTAGCAGATATAGTTGCTGGCCAGTTATCTTAGTTACATATAATCTCCCTCCATGGCTGTGCATGAAACGAAAGTTCATGATGTTGACCTTATTGATTTCCGGTCCTAAACAACCCGGAAATGATATAGACGTCTACTTGGAGCCTTGATTGATGATTTAAAATCTTTGTGGGATGGGATTAGAGGAGTGTATGATGCACATAATGGAGAATACTTTACACTCAGAGCTGCATTAATGTGGACAATTAATGATTTCCCCGCCTATGGAAACTTATCTGGTGTGTTGTTAAAGGATATAAAGCTTGTCCAATATGCGGCGATGATACACCTAGTCACAGGTTGAAAAATGGCCACAAAATTTGTTACATTGGGCATAGAAAATGGTTACCAATCAATCATCCATATAGGAGGCAACGTGCAGCTTTTAATGGGAAACCTGAATATGGCACGCCTCCCGAGCCATTAACCGGAGAAGAAGTGCTGCATATGGTTGAAAATGGTGACAGAGTTTGTTGGAAGAAGAAATCAATATTCTTTGATCTCGAGTATTGGAAATACCTTCCTGTGAGGCATGTCCTAGATGTTATGCACATTGAGAAGAATGTTTGCGATAGTATCATTGGTACATTGCTGGAGATCCCTGGAAAAAATAAAGATGGGATTGCTGCTCGATTAGATTTATTGAACATGGGGTCAAAACTGATTTGCAACCGGAGTATGGAGAAAGACGTACTCGTTTGCCTCCCGGGCCTTGGAATTTGTCAAGAGCAGAGAAGAGAGAGGTTTGCAATTCTTTCTATGGTATGAAGGTCCCTGAAGGTTATTCTTCAAATATAAAAAATCTTGTATCTTTACAAGATTCAAGACTTCTTGGCCTTAAATCACATGATTGTCATACCTTAATGCAACAATTGCTCCATGTGGCAATTCGTTCTGTTTTGGAGAAGCCTGCAAGGTATGCAATAACTCGTTTGTGCTTCTTCTTCAATGCTATATGTGCAAAGACTGTTGATGTTTCCAAGTTAGATAAGTTGGAAGAAGATGTAGTAGTTACTTTGTGTTTGCTTGAGAAGTACTTTCCCCCTTCCTTCTTTGATATCATGGTTCATCTAGTAGTACATCTTGTCAGAGAAGTTCGTCTATGTGGGCCAGTATATTTTAGATGGATGTATCCGTTTGAAAGATATATGAAAGTGCTAAAGGGGTATGTTCAGAATCGTACTCGTCCCGAAGGTTGCATTGCTGAGCGGTATATAGCTGAAGAAGCTGTAGAGTTTTGTACCGAGCATTTATCTGATGTTAGTACAGTTGGAGTGCCTTCAAGCCAAAAGATGGGAGTTTCAAAAACATTATCAGGTTGCACAGTGAGCGTAGTTGATCGGGACCTGTTGAACCAAGCACATCTATATGTCTTGGAGAATACGGAGGAAGTCCTACCTTATATCAAGTACGTATGAGTTTTATTCTTTAAGTTTCCATTTTAAATTATTTCTTATGTTTATCTTATATGTTTGGGACCGTAATACTTGAATTTTTCGTGTCATGTAGGCAACATATGATCCACATCAAGACCGCTTATCCAAAATTTAGAAAGAGAACAAAGTGGCTGCAGGATAAGCACAATAGCACTTTCATTCAATGGCTACACTTCAAGGTATATGTTATTGAATAACATATTGGACTTTTAATTTTCTTCTTTCTATGTTAGATTGAATTAAGATATGATTAATTTGCAGGTTCAAAGTGAACTTAATGAGGAAGACAATCATGGCGTATCAGAAAATTTAAGGTGGCTAGCAGCTGGTCCAAACATGGCAGTGCCATCATATAGGAGCTATCTTATTAAAGGTATTAAATTTAACATCAAGGCACAAGATGATGTGCGGACAACTCAAAATAGTGGAGTTTATTTACTTGCACATACCATGCAAGTTGCTAGTGCCAAGGATAAAAACCCAATTCTCTCAAATATGGGTTTCTATGGTGTCATTCAAGAAATTTGGGACCTTGACTACCAAAAGTTTACAATCCCAGTCTTTAGGTGTGATTGGATAGATAGTACTTCTGGTCTTGTAGTCGACGAACTTGGATTTACCCTTGTAGATTTGAGTAAAATTGGACATAGGAATGACCAATTTGTTTTGGCTTCTCAAGTCAAACAATTATTTTTTGTTGACGACCCGATGCATCGTGGTTGGTCGGTAGTGTTATCAATGCCTAATAGAGAATATAATGATGTTATTGGTGATGATGATGTCTTAGGTGATGTGAGAATTGAGTGTGAGCCATTTACTAGAGGGATGCCAAATGTTGACACATTTGATGAACTAGTGGGTGAGTTTGGGAGTCAAAATATTCGAGATGGGTGTGAAGATATATGGATTGAATGATGCTTATGTAATTGGCAGTGTATGACATTAATTTTGTAATATATTGTAATGTGATTTCTTCACTTTCATTATACAGGTTTTGGCCACAAAACAATCAGTACAAAAATATTGGTTCAAGATTACAAACACGACGGTCTTGATAAAAATGTGAAAAACAAACGTCTGTTCTAATAAAAAAAACGACGTTTTGGAGCATTCAACGACCGCAATATATTTACCGACGTCTTAAAGCAACGTAACAAAGAAGAACCACGACGCTATTGTGAAACAGTTATTAAGGATATCACGTCGGAGAAGCATAAAGAGCCGCCATGTAATTCCAAATAACACGACTCCAATCCCATAATACCGACGTCTAAAAGACGAGATATCTAACCTGAACGTTACAAAAGACGACGTCGTCTTAACTTTACCACGTCGCATGTTATTTCATAAACGAAGTGGAAAAGGATGAATTCACGACGGTATTTTAAATCCATTAGTAAATTTGTCGACGTTAAGATATATTTGGACGTCGTTCCTTTACAAAAACAACGTTATATGAATGTATCCACGTCTCTTTTCTTATGATAATGTCGTTAAAATTTCTTTACACGGCTAATATCGAATTAACAACGCCGTCTAATAGGAATTAGACGACGGTAATTTTTTAATGATGACGTATATATTATGAAACACGGCTGTCTTTTGAATGATAACAACGTTGTATATTGACGACAACGTCGTCTTTATAAATTAATATGTCGTAAGTAATGACCCCAACATATTTTCCACGTCGTTTATTTTAAGATCGTGTCGTTAAAACTATTTTACACGGCGGTGAACTGAGAAACCTTGCCGTGTCAGATCCATTAGACGACGATTATATTTTAAGAGATGACGTATAAATTCTGTAATACGGCTCTCCATTATTTGTAACCGACGTTGTTTATTAGTACAACGTCGTCAGTTTAAATATATGCGTCGTAAGTAATGACCCAAACATCTATTTCCACGTCATCATTAATAGAAAAATCGAAGTGGAAAATTCATTTCACGACGGTTGTTGAAAAGATACTGACATAGTAGGAGTCAATAACGTCGTCGATTATGTATTTAAAGACGTCATATTTTTATTTGTCGTGAAAGGTATATTTAACGGCCCTGGGTTTTAGTTCTCGTCGTTGTATGTATATCTTGCGGCCATGTTCTGTTAATATATGTCATATGTTTCCTTTTTAACGACGGTTTTTTTTGTTAGAATTGGTCGTCTATTCTCATCCTCGACTGTTTTTTTATCTCTTTTTCCATTACAAAGACGTCGGTTATTATTTGTTAATGACGTTGTTTGTTTTAACAACGACGGTGATTTAGCGTCGTGGTTTGACACCCAAATAGATGTCGGTCGATTCCACGACGGTTTTGATAAGGCCATAATTTCACACATTTGCATGCCTTCTTTGCTTAGTAATTTTGTTTAGCTTCTCTTTATTTTGAGTCTCTTACCTATGTTTGTGTGTTTTGTAGGTTAAGACAGCAAGAGATCACATTTGATGCAATCCATGCTTGATAAGGGCTGATTGGGATAAGAGGAATATGAGCTTAAGGACAAACCCAATTTGGGCCACAATCCTTGTCAGTCCAGTTTCGTGGGTCATCTTGCAGTCCTCATTTCAGCAACTTACACAGGTCGGATGAGGAGACATCCTTGATAGAAGTTGTTCCAATTGGTGTTTATTATAACATATCCAAATTTCAGCCCAATTGGATAAATCTGGAGCCCTCAGCACGTCAAAGACTGAACCAAGTTCACAGAAATGTCATGACTGGCTGCCATCACATCTACATCCCTAGAGCCATGTGCTAAGCATGGGCAGCCATACATGGGAGTCAAATCAGTTCAGAAACTCAGAATGATGAACAAAAGTCAAGTTTTCCATTAAAAAACCATACCAAAGCATGTATTTGACAGCTGGAGCAGGTGGCAAGTATGGGCATCTGGAGCAGGTGGCAAGTATGGGCTGCTGGAGTTGTTGGGAGCAGCTAAGAGAGGTGTGCTTCACCAGCCAAAGGGGAGGACGAAATTTCACTCTATAAATAGAGGGCTGCACACTCATTCAAGATATAGAGAGTCAGATACACATTTTCACTTCACCCATTACTCTCATACACAAATTCAGATTCACCACAAAGAGAGAAGAAAGCTTGGAGCTGTCCTGGGAATTCCTTGCTGCCATCATCTAGTTCTTCTCCTCTCTTTATCCTATCTATGTATTTCTTATTTTCTGTATTCATAGTTATGTCTAACTAATCCATTTAGTTAGGGCTTAGGATGAAGCCCTAGTCATGAATATTCAATGTTATGGATGATTTTATAGTTAATTGATTTCCTTGATTTCATTATCAAGTTGTTAATCTCCAGTTTATCATGTGCTTGATGTATGTTTGCTTAGAGTAGCTAACTAGGATTTTATGCATCTAGCACAGGTTGGGAAGGGGTTTAGATTCACCAATTCTACTCTCCTTTCACAAGCAACACATGAATGGCCTAAGAATCATTCAAGGGGTTAATAACCATAAGTTGACTAGGACAGATACCATGTTCTAGGACTTGTGTGATTATCATATTCTCAAGGAGCTTAATGACTCTTGTATGCTTTATTCTAAGTAGATACCATGCTTAGGTTGCATATTAGAGATCAAGTGTTGTGTAGATACCATGCACAATCACATGCCTTAGGAGAATCATGCATCCTGCACCTAGATACCATAGGCTTGTATGCGATAATCTATTGTTGATGAAGCTTGAGTCAATTTCTATGCATTCATAACTTGGATAGGAAGACTAGTGGTAGATTCCAAGGCTCTAACACCTCTCATTCTTTGTTTCACAACTTGTTGATTGCTGCCAGTGTTTATTTTCGAGCACTTTCATTTCACGTTCTTCTTTTCATTTCAACAACAAAACCCCCCCATTTCGAGTGCGTGTGTGGTGCTAGGATTCTGTCCTAGACCTTGAGTAATTAGCAAGAGGCATTGTTGAGTTCGAACTTGCCTTTAGCTAGTTAGTCAGTTTCTTTGTTTTATGTTTTTTCTAGCATTCTAAGTAATTTAACTTGGAACCAAGTTACCATTCTCCGTGGGATCGACCTCGTATTTACATAAGCTATACTATAAACGGTTCGTGCACTTGCGAGAATTAAAGTTGCTGTTTTTAATAACTCATTTTAGTTGTTAAGAAAGGCTCAACAAGTTTTTGGCGCCGTTGCCGGGGAACCGGTAACGATGGTGCTATAGTTAGATTACTTTGATTGTTTTGTTTTTGTTTGTTTCATTTGTTTCTTTTCGTTGGTTTTTCTTTTAGTATTCTGTTTTTGTGTTTAGTTGTTATCTCCACTGAAAGCACTGAATTGAGTTCCTTGGTGTGTGCATGTCCGAATCTGATCAGGAGCAAAGTTCACCTGAGCCACTTTCACCAAGAACCGCTGCTGTACGTGCTGGTTTGAGAAGGAATTATAGTTCTTCAAGCGCTGATTCTAAAAGTTCCGAATCTGAAGGTTCAAGCACGATGGCAGAGATTCCGAACAACAACAATAATGTTGAAGGAGGTGGTGCGCTTGTTGTCCAACCTCGAAAACCCCTGCGTGAGTTTTCCATTCCCAAAGTCACCGATCAACCTTCGTGCATCGTCTATCCTCAACTCACAGTTGACAGGTTTGAGCTTAAAAGTGGTATGATTCATCTTCTTCCAACTTATTATGGTAATACCACTGAGGATCCTTACATGCATATTAAGCAATTCTTTGAAATATGTGCTACGATCAAAATTCATGGCCTTGATGATGAGCAGATTAAGATGAGGCTATTCCCATTCAGTTTAAAAGATAAGGCTAAGTCTTGGTTATACTCTTTGCCTAATGCTTCAATTCATACTTGGGAAGAGCTTTCTAATAAGTTTTTGCAGAAATTCTTCCCGGCTCAAAAGACTAACAAGATTAGAAAGGAAATCCTTGGTTTCACACAAAAGGAAGGAGAAGCTTTTCATGAATGTTGGGAGAGGTACAAGGAGATGATAAGTTCTTGCCCACACCACAACATAGAGAGTTGGATGCAAATGCAATCTTTCTATGAAGGTTTGCTTGATTCCGAAAGGATGATGGTAGATGCAACAAGTGGAGAAGGACTGATGAACAAAACAGCAGATGAGGCTTTTACTCTCTTTGAATCCTTGAGTGCTAACTCTCAACAATGGAGCCACAATAAAGGAAGAGGAGCTTCTATGAAAGCTGTGGTCTCTGAGGTAAGTACTAATAATGAGATTGCTGCAAAACTTGATGTTATGTGTTCTTTGCTTCAACAGGCAGTGACTGGCCCTCTTGGAAGCAAAGTGGAAGTTCAAGATCAATCTTTTGCAGAGCACATGCTAGAACAAGCAAATGCCCTTCAAGCAAGGAATCCTAATAATGATCCTTACTCAAACACGTACAATCCGGGGTGGAGAAATCATCCTAATTTCAAGTGGAGCAATAACCCAAATGTGCAACAATCTCAAGGACCTCCCCCAGGATTTCAAATACAACAAAGGCAATTCCAGCAAGCTCCCCAACAAGTGCAAGAGCAAAGGGGTGATCAAATGGGAGAATTGCAAGACATGTTCAAGAAGTTCATGGGGCAACAGATGCAAACCAATCAGAATCTTCAAAATGCAGTGAACAAACTAGAAGTGCAAGTTGGGCAGATTGCATCCTCCATGAGCAATAGGGCATCCGAAACATTTCCAAGCCAAACAGAGGTGAATCCAAGGCATCAAGAGCATGCTAAAGCAGTACACATCTTGAGAAGTGGTAAACAAGTTGATAACAAGGTTGGAGATGTCAACGAAGAGCAAGAAGATGGAGAAAACGTGGAGATCATTCAGCCACCACATGGGCAGCCCACAGCTTCCAACAAACAGCCCCTCAATGCTCCTGGAAAGAGCACAAGCCCTAAGGTATCATCTAATGCTAATCAAGTTCCAATTTCAACTAATGCTTTTAGGCCTATTGCACCCTTTCCCAGCAGGTTATCAAAGTCAAAGAAAGATCAAGGCTTGGATGAGATAATGGAAACATTCAAGAAGGTGCAAATCAACATCCCATTGCTCAATGCCATTGCTCAGATTCCAAAGTATGCAAAATTTTGAAGGATCTATGCACTAACAAGAGGAGATTCAAAGAGCATGAACAAGTTGCATTGAGTGAAGAGGTAAGTGCAGTGTTACAAAGAAAGCTACCTCCAAAGCTAAAGGATCCAGGTTCGTTTTCTATACCTTGCATAGTTGGTGATTTTAAGTTTCAAAAAGCTTTGCTTGATCTTGGTGCTTCTATAAACCTTATGCCATATCATGTTTATGAGAAACTTAACCTTGGTGAGTTGCAAGCCACATCTGTGAGCATTCAATTGGCAGATAGAACTATTAGGTACCCTAAGGGCATTCTAGAAGATGTTTTGGTGAAAGTGGAAGAGCTAATTTTGCCAGCAGATTTCTTGGTGTTGGAAATGGAAGAAGCACCAATTCATGACAATCAGTTACCACTCATTCTAGGTCGGCCATTCATGGCAACTGCCGGTGCTATTATTGACGTGAAGAAGGGTACATTGACCATGAACGTGTTTGATGAGACAATAGCATTCAAGGTGTTTGAAGCCTCTAAGTTTCCAAGTGATGAGCATGAAGTTTTCCAGCTTGATGCAATTGATACTATGGTGAAAGAAGCACTGCCAATGAGTTATTTGGAGCCCATTGAAGCATGCATCACACAAAGCATAAGGAAAGAAGAAGTGGACAGCTTAGAGGCTGTGATCTCTCCTTTACTTCTTGAGCTTGTTTGCAGCATGGATAGCTACATAGAAGTTGGAAAGAGGTATGCAAATCAATTTGAATCATTACCCCCACCTACTAATAAGGTTTTACCATCTATTGTGCAGGCACCAGAGTTGGAATTAAAGGAATTGCCAAAACACCTTAAATATGCTTATTTAGGTGAAAATGAGACTCTACCTGTTATCATTGCCTCACACCTCGAACCAAATGATGAGAAGAAGCTTTTGAGAGTTCTAAAAGAGCACAAAACTGCAATTGGGTGGAGCATTGCAGATATCAAAGGCATAAGTCCAACACTATGCATGCACAAGATATTATTGGAAGACAATGCAATGCCTAAGAGGGATGCCCAAAGACGTCTCAATCCGAACATGAAGGAGGTGGTAAGAAAAGAGGTAATGAAGCTTTTAGATGTTGGTATTATTTACCCTATTTCTGACAGTAAATGGGTGAGCCCAGTGCAAGTTGTTCCCAAAAAGTCAGGTATCACAGTGGTGAAGAATGAAGCAAATGAGCTTGTACCTACACGGGTGACCACGGGCTGGAGAGTTTGCATCGATTATAGGAAGCTCAACACAGCAACAAGCAAGGATCACTTCCCTCTTCCATTCATTGATCAGATGCTTGAGAGATTGGCTGGCCATAGCCACTATTGCTTCCTTGATGGATATTCAGGCTACAACCAAATCGCCATAGCCCCAGAGGATCAGGAGAAGACAACCTTCACGTGTCCCTTTGGTACTTTCGCTTATAGGAGGATGCCTTTTGGTCTCTGTAATGCCCCAGCCACTTTTCAAAGGTGCATGATGAGCATTTTCTCCGACATGGTAGAAAGGTTCATTGAGGTATTCATGGATGACTTCTCTGTCTTTGGTGATTCTTTTGATCAATGCTTGCATTACTTATCCAAGGTGTTGGCTAGATGTGAACAGACTAACCTTGTGCTTAATTGGGAAAAATGTCATTTTATGGTTAACCAAGGCATAGTTCTTGGTCATGTCATCTCTAGTAAAGGAATCGAGGTAGATAAAGCTAAGATTGATTTGATTGCCTCCATGCCCTCACCTACTTCTGTCAAAGAAGTACGTTCTTTCCTTGGCCATGCAGGTTTCTATAGGCGTTTCATTAAGGAATTTTCTAAGATTGCGAGGCCTTTGTGCAATCTCCTTGCCAAGGACATGGATTTTGTCTTTGATCAAAACTGTGAGAATGCTTTCAATGCTTTGAAGAAGATGCTCACAACTGCCCCAATCATTATACCACCAGATTGGAGCTTGCCTTTTGAATTGATGTGTGACGCCTCTGATTATGCCGTTGGAGCTGTTTTGGGACAGCGAGTTGATAAGAAGCCACATGCCATCTACTATGCTAGTAGAACCCTCAACGATGCCCAACTCAACTATTCCACCACAGAGAAGGAGTTATTAGCTGTCATATTTGCTTTAGAAAAGTTCAGATCATATTTGATTACTAACAAGGTTATTGTTTACACTGATCATGCAGCATTAAAATACTTGTTAGCCAAGAAGGATGCCAAGCCACGACTCATTAGATGGATTCTCTTGTTGCAAGAGTTTGACTTGGAGATAAAAGATAAGAAAGGAAGTGAGAATGTTGTGGCTGATCATTTGAGTAGATTGGTGCATGTGTCTAACGAAGAGGAGGATTCATTGCCATTGCGTGAAAGCTTCCCTGATGAGCAACTCTTCTCCATTTGTGTTTTGAATTCTCTCAATCCATTACCTTGGTTTGCTGATATTGTTAACTATTTGTGCACTAATGAACTCCCTACAGGGTTATCTACGTTCCAACGTGACAAGCTTAGGAAGCAAGCAAGATACTACTTTTGGGATGATCCATATCTATTCAAGCATTGCCCAGACCAAGTAATTCGAAGGTGTGTGCCTGAAGGTGATTTTAAGAGCATTCTGGAGTTTTGTCACTCCCATGCATGTGGAGGACATTTTGGAGCAAAGAAGACTGCCAACAAAGTGCTACAATCAGGTTTCTTTTGGCCTACCCTTTTTAAGGATGCGTATGTTTTTTGTGCTTCATGTGATAGATGCCAACGGATGGGTAATTTACATGCTAGAAATCAGATGCCTCTCACCAATATCCTAATCATTGAAATATTTGATGTTTGGGGAATTGATTTCATGGGCCCTTTTCCTACCTCTTATGGATTTGAATATATATTAGTTGCTGTCGATTATGTTTCTAAATGGGTAGAAGCCATTGCCACTAGAACTAATGATGCTAAGGTTGTGATCGGTTTTCTCAAAGGAAATATTTTTACAAGGTTTGGCACACCTAGAGCAATCATTAGTGATGGTGGCTCCCACTTTGTTAACCAAGCTTTTGCAGCACTCTTGAAGAAATATGGAATCACGCATAAGGTGGCAACACCCTATCATCCCCAAACTAGTGGGCAGGTTGAGATAAGCAATAGGGAGATTAAGCACATACTTGAAAAGACGGTGAACACCACAAGGAAGGATTGGTCCATGCGTTTGGATGATGCATTGTGGGCTTATAGGACTGCTTATAAGACACCTATAGGTATGTCTCCGTATAGGCTTGTTTTCGGTAAACCTTGTCACTTACCAGTGGAGCTTGAGCACAGGGCTTATTGGGCAATCAAGGCCTTCAATTTTGATATGAAAGCTGCTGGTGAGAAGAGGAGGCTTCAACTCAATGAGTTGGAGGAGTTGCGACATGAAGCGTATGAGAATGCTAAGCTTTACAAGGAGAAAACAAAGCAATATCATGACAAGAAAATTCTTAGGAAGACGTTTGAGAAAGGGCAGAAGGTTCTCCTATTCAATTCACGCCTTAAGCTCTTTCCAGGTAAGCTTCGGTCTCGGTGGATTGGCCCTTTTGTTATTACTAATGTGTTTGATCATGGCGCAGTGGAGATTCAAAATATTAAGGATGGCAGCACCTTCAAGGTGAACGGACATCGGTTGAAACCTTACTTTGATGCCAACTTTGATGCCAATATTGAGTCTCAAGCACTCAAGGAGCCTCTACCACTCTCTTGATGTTCACCAGAGTTTGAACGTCCGGCTGAAGACATAAAACTTAGCGCTTCTTGGGAGGCAACCCAAGGTGACGAGGAGAAGACAGAACATGCAAGGAAGCCTGCTTGTCCTAATCGCTTCAAAGGGGAGTTTTTCTGAACTCTAACCTTTGCTTATGTCTTTCCCTTATCTTCTTTCCTTTCATTTATGAGGCATTGCTTTTTCTTACACTCTAAACATTGAGGACAATGTTTCATTTAAGTTTGGGGGGAAGGATTTAGTTATGTTGTTTCAAATTATCAAATTTTAAAATTTTGAGTGTGTCTAATGGCCAAAAACGCAGGATTTTGTGTCTTGTTTCGTTATCCTTCCAAACACCTATGATAAGACTTGGATCTAATACTAATATGGTTTCTCAGAAATTGATAGTCATTGTTTAAGGACTTTGTGTGGTTCTGAGTTAACTCTGTCTTGCATGCCATCCTTGCACTTATTGAGCACTTTGCCAAGTTAGTCCAATTTCTGGTTACTTAGAGATGTTATGCAATTCTACTTATCTCATGATCTTGGTTTTGTACTCTAGAACTTATTTGAATATCTCTTGAGACATTTTGTTGCCATACAATGCTTAGGAAGTGATTTTGGCCATGTTTGAACCGTTTGAGCCTTTCTAACCATCCCTCTACATGTATTCATCCCTAGTCAACCCCATTTGAGCCTAAGTTAAGCCTTTCTTTGTGTAAACCCTTCCTACCATAATGAACCTCTGTTTTCTTATTCTTACTTATCGTATGAGCAATTAAAGCTATCTTCAAAAGAGAGTTATAAAGAATGCAAGGTTTTTGGAGCAAAAAAATGAATCATTAGTGCCATAACCCAAGTGTTGAAAAGAAATAAGTTTGGGGGTATTGGTAACTAATCAAAAGAGGTAATGAAGTGTGACCAATGTAGTCACGGCCCTAGGGTGTTATAAAAGAGAAGATCATGGTGATCTAGGGTAAAGAGCCACAAAATTAGGCCAAATAAACAGATATGAAGGTGCTGAAATTATGTTGAAAATCTGCTCATGTATGTGTTCCTTGCTTGTTACAAAGTTCAGTAATCTCTTATGCTCTTACCTATGCTTTAATTATGCTCAAAATATTGTATATCTCATATCCCTTCTTTCATTCAACCACTACCCTAAACCTCATTACTACCCTTGTAAAGTCCTTTTGATCCTTGGTGTTGCATGGTATTATGTGGAGAGCAGATTGGATAATGAGCTTATGGGGTTCGGAATTTTTGATTTTGCTCTAAGTGTGTGCGCATGTACTTATTTGAGTTGCAGGTGTTGTTCTGATTTGGCATTCACACACTACACTTAAGGATGTCATTGTGAGCCTTGGTTACCCTTGAATCATGTGTGGAACTTAGATTGTGATTGTTGTGTTTCTTTGGAACCATATATTTCAGTGATTCTTTGAGGATATTGTTTGGAAGGCTAGCAGCTTATTTCCTGTTTTCTAAATGGTATTTTTCCCTTGTTTTGCTCGAGGACTAGCAAAATCTAAGTTTGGGGGTATTTGATAAGGTCATAATTTCACACATTTGCATGCCTTCTTTGCTTAGTAATTTTGTTTAGCTTCTCTTTATTTTGAGTCTCTTACCTATGTTTGTGTGTTTTGTAGGTTAAGACAGCAAGAGATCACATTTGATGCAATCCATGCTTGATAAGGGCTGATTGGGATAAGAGGAATATGAGCTTAAGGACAAACCCAATTTGGGCCACAATCCTTGTCAGTCCAGTTTCGTGGGTCATCTTGCAGTCCTCATTTCAGCAACTTACACAGGTCGGATGAGGAGACATCCTTGATAGAAGTTGTTCCAATTGGTGTCTATTATAACATATCCAAATTTCAGCCCAATTGGATAAATCTGGAGCCCTCAGCACGTCAAAGACTGAACCAAGTTCACAGAAATGTCATGACTGGCTGCCATCACATCTACATCCCTAGAGCCATGTGCTAAGCATGGGCAGCCATACATGGGAGTCAAATCAGTTCAGAAACTCAGAATGATGAACAAAAGTCAATTTTCCATTAAAAAACCATACCAAAGCATGTATTTGACAGCTGGAGCAGGTGGCAAGTATGGGCATCTGGAGCAGGTGGCAAGTATGGGCTGCTGGAGTTGTTGGGAGCAGCTAAGAGAGGTGTGCTTCACCAGCCAAAGGGGAGGACGAAATTGCACTCTATAAATAGAGGGCTGCACACTCATTCAAGATAGAGAGTCAGATACACATTTTCACTTCACCCATTACTCTCATACACAAATTCAGATTCACCACAAAGAGAGAAGAGAGCTTGGAGCTGTCCTGGGAATTCCTTGCTGCCATCATCTAGTTCTTCTCCTCTCTTTATCCTATCTATGTATTTCTTATTTTCTGTATTCATAGTTATGTCTAACTAATCCATTTAGTTAGGGCTTAGGATGAAGCCCTAGTCATGAATATTCAATGTTATGGATGATTTATAGTTAATTGATTTCCTTGATTTCATTATCAAGTTGTTAATCTCCAGTTTATCATGTGCTTGATGTATGTTTGCTTAGAGTAGCTAACTAGGATTTTATGCATCTAGCACAGGTTGGGAAGGGGTTTAGATTCACCAATTCTACTCTCCTTTCACAAGCAACACATGAATGGCCTAAGAATCATTCAAGGGGTTAATAACCATAGTTGACTAGGACAGATACCATGTTCTAGGACTTGTGTGATTATCATATTCTCAAGGAGCTTAATGACTCTTGTATGCTTTATTCTAAGTAGATACCATGCTTAGGTTGCATATTAGAGATCAAGTGTTGTGTAGATACCATGCACAATCACATGCCTTAGGAGAATCATGCATCCTGCACCTAGATACCATAGGCTTGTATGCGATAATCTATTGTTGATGAAGCTTGAGTCAATTTCTATGCATTCATAACTTGGATAGGAAGACTAGTGGTAGATTCCAAGGCTCTAACACCTCTCAATCTTTGTTTCACAACTTGTTGATTGCTGCCAGTGTTTATTTTCGAGCACTTTCATTTCACGTTCTTCTTTTCATTTCAACAACAAAACCCCCCCATTTCGAGTGCGTGTGTGGTGCTAGGATTCTGTCCTAGACCTTGAGTAATTAGCAAGAGGCATTGTTGAGTTCGAACTTGCCTTTAGCTAGTTAGTCAGTTTCTTTGTTTTATGTTTTTTCTAGCATTCTAAGTAATTTAACTTGGAACCAAGTTACCATTCTCCGTGGGATCGACCTCGTATTTACATAAGCTATACTATAAACGGTTCGTGCACTTGCGAGAATTAAAGTTGCTGTTTTTAATAACTCATTTTAGTTTTAGGAATTGACCAACAGATAGGTATGCTGCAGTGCATTAGAAGTCCACAGACACCCTAATAAAATACTACAGGATGAATTGCAAGTTAACATATGCAGTTCAGAATGATTGAGAAGCTTTATTGCCCGAAATCAACCCAACCTTGTAGTCCACAACTAGAATCTCCCTTTTAGGTCCTCCACCAGGTTTGTATGGCCACTATAGGAAACCCTTTAATGTGCACGATAGCTGAATCCAGAACAGTGTAAATTCAGGTAGACATAGGGGTAACCTTGTAGTCCAAGAACAGGAAGATTCCAGCTCTTGCAGCGCGGTCCGCACGAAGTCTAAGGCTCCCTAATACCGAGCCAAAGTTTTGTACCTCTACGCAAAAAAACCGGATGAGTGAGATCCTCCAGACATTTCCCCACTACCAAAGGGCAAAGTAGGCAGAGAAAGGAGCTAACCCTACGTCGAGCCAAGCAATAACGAGAGGGCACGGAGGTATCGTGGGGCCAAGAGTCGTCAAGGCAGCTGCCTCATTGTTCTGCGACAGAGAGAATACAAGCATCAAGGTGACCGACAGGACCGCCACAGAGCGACTCTGACTAGTCCTAAGAACTACAGCCCACTGTTGACACATTTAATTAACATCTCAATGATACATACCGTCGGTACGTCACGTATACCTGCCCTATTTCATGTGGCTACATGACATTGGGATACAATTCTTCTTTGCAAAGACTGCCATTGAAATATATTACGCTAAACAATCATGATGCGATAAACGACAGCATGACCAAGGATACCATAACATAGGTGAAGTGAATGGGGCCCAACTGGTGAAAAGCCTACGAGGCTCCATCAGGATAGCTCTGTCACAAGACATCATGTAGAAGGACCTACCTACAGAAAGCCCATACTCTAGCCTATATGATCGGGATGCCTCTTACTCCCGGTGGGAAAGTACCAAATTTCACTTTTGTTTTTTTATGAAAGATGCTCATCCTTCATCTATAAAAATATAGGCATAATTTTGCTCCTAGTGCCTAGCATGAGACACAATCCTCTTTTAAGCGCAGCCGTTTTGGAAATTCATTGTCCGGTCAAGCCTTCTACAGCTTCAAGTGCTTTTTCTTTTTTTGACCAAAAAAAAAGTGCTTTTTTCTTTTATTAAAGTCACAGTTCTGTTACGTGGGAAGTGAGAAATGAAAATTCACTCCAGAAAAGTAAAAAGAAAAACAAATGAAGACGGAAAATATTTAAAAAGCAGTTTAGTTAAGCCTAAGGGCCAACAGAGATTGTTTCAATGCATTACAATTTTGTATCTAATGAGAACAGAATCCAATAGATTGTGATTAAACCTTAATTCATAGAGTCTGGCGATCTAACAGCTACAATCGTGTTAACTCAATTTTGTGGCCATAAATTCCAACATAATTTCAAATAAATTTCATGTTTCCTTTCTGTATGAACCTTGTCTGCAATAAATTCTTCTGGTCGGCTAATTTCCATGGAACTGGCAAAATTTAGATCGAAAAGGACCATCAACTAAACAAAATTTCTACCACGAAATAAACCCGCAAGTCTCGGATAACTTGTACACGAAGTAATCGGCACCAAATAGCAAACTTAGATAAGGAAAAATGGTGATGTGAGCACTCTTAAAAGATTCTGCGGTCCAAAATCAGAACATAAAAAATATAAGATTAATCTTAAGCCTTGTCAGCCTTGGAGGCAGTGGCAGCAGCTTGTCCTCTAAGTCTTCCTGTTCTCCTTGCAGCAATGAGACCGACCTTCTGGCCAGGAGGCGCATCACGCCTGACTGTACTTGCATGTCCAATGTGCTGGTGGTTACCTCCTCCGTGAGGATGCTCAACTGGGTTCATAGCCCACCCACGAACCTTAGGCCAGCAGTTCCTCTTCACTCTGAATTTGTGGTACGCATTACCAGCCTTGAGCATTGGCTTTTCAGTCCTACCCCCGCCAGCAACCTGCCCAAATCATTGCCCTGCAACCACTTGGCACAATCTTCTTCGCACCAGAAGGAAGCTTGATCCTGTTAAGAACAGTAAAACAGACACAATGAGTTAATTCCCTAACCAACGCAGCAGACCTTGACCAAGGAAAACAGAGAAGCTAATGACAAGCTAAATTGAAAAGTACATTCAGTAATAGATGTCAAAAATCGAATGATCAAATCGGATTAGTATAAACCAAAGCCTGCACAGGTAGAAAGTGAAGACAAGAATATAAAGCAATTATAATCTCAATACAAGAAAAAGCACACAACACACACTTGAAATAAAATGAAACGTTGGGTTGAGACCCAATCCTACTAAAATTCAAATATAATCCAGCCCAAGTCAAAAGTCTTACTACTAATTATATTGGTTCAGAGCCCACACCGCTAATTCAACAAAATCCCAAGAGACAAAATACTAGCTACTTAAGACTGCGCGAGTCTGTAAATGAACATACCCAAGTGGGAATTTTCAATAAAAATGCCATATTTCATGCTTCATATTGAAAGCAAACTACATTTCATCAAATACGATACAATTATTAATTAATGTTCTTAGGATATAATTATCAAACGAAAACAGAAGGATGAGAGAGAGAGAGAGAGAGAGACCTGGAGGTATCGTTATCAGGGTTGTGGGCTGATAACAACAGCGTAATCACCAGAAAGCCCTAGCAAGGACTCCCACGGTCACCAACATGGTGCTCGACGTTGCAGACGACAGCTCCCTCCGGGATCGATCTGAGAGGCAACACATTGCCGACGACCAGATTGGCCTTCTTCCCACAGTAGATGAACTGGCCAGTGTAGATGCCCTCAGCGGCGACGAAGAGCTCATTCTGTTTTTGTATCGGAAAGGATGGGGGAAGCTGACTCGGGCGAGCGGGGCTCCGCGACCGGGGTCGTGGATGAATCTCGGTGACGACGCCCTTGAGGGTAGCCGTTGCGCTCGCCGAAGTCGAGGCTGCGGAACCGGGCGGGACCCTTGCGGTGGGTGGGGTGTGGGGACTTGAAGACCGACCCCGCACCCTTACGCTGAGCTCTGATGACTCTACCCATGGCGGGCTTCCCGCTGAAATGTCTTTGGTCTTTGCTAGCGGTAGCGTCCCCAAAATGTTGCTTCGCAAGCAAACCCTAGAACTCATAAATTTATAGCATTTGGATATGGCCCAACAGTGTTAGAGTCCAGAAAGAAATTGGGGCCTAATTTTTATAATTCGAAACCCAAATGCTTAAAAGGTCAAATGAGAGGATAATCTGCCGTTCGTGCCCTTTAGAGCATATCCAAAGGGAGATGTCAAATACCCAAACATCAAATTTTAAATTTGATAGCTGATGTGGCAATTTGACATTTACACAATTTTATACTCCACCCGATATGTCAAATAAATAATATTGTAACAGTCAAATCATTTAAGATAAAGAAGAAAAAAAATAAAAAAGGAAAATAAAAATTTAAAAGTTACAACCAGTTGTTTTTAAAAAAAAATAAAATATTCATTTTGAATCTTGCTTTTGGGATGTCAAAAAATAACATACTCAACCTCCGGCCTTCATTTTTACATCAACTTTGACAACATCGGTTGGAGTGTAAGAGATGTTATTTCTAGCCGTCACTTTAACATCGGTTGGAGATGCTCTTATATTGTACTATACCCTTAATTATCAATTCACTCTTCATACCTTTTTTAAATAAATTAAGGACTTAAACTATATAGTCAGTCGGGTATAGTTCAGTTAGTTGAGCTCTTTTTCACCTTCATCCATGTGGACAGATGTTCGAAAACCCCTAAGCACTCAATGAATATTTGTGTAAACCCCCTCTCATAATCGCTTGTAATAATAAAAAAATAAAAACTCAAATATATAAATAGGCCATGATTCCAATTTTTGCTTGATATTGATTTATGCATGCTGCCACTCTTTGAGATATGGGTTTGTTTTGTCAATGGATTAGGTAGTGGGTTTTTAGATTGCAGGAGCTTGGTAGTATAATTGTTTGAAATAGGTTTCTTTATGTTGGGCAACTATAAAATTGGGATGCAGCCGCATGCTGGTATTTACATTTTTAATGAACCAAAATTTAGCGATTGGATATGCCACTGACTTTTGAGCTTGTTTATAATGCTTTAAGTTCTTCAAAAGAAAGGGTTCAGGGTTTTACAAGAAGAAAAATAGGACTTCACAGAATAAAAGGATCCATGAATGAAGAACAGCCACAATCAAGAATAGAAGGACTTTCAACCAAAAAAAAAACTCCAACGGAAGCTATCAAGTAATAAAAAATGGTTCATATATTTCGATAATGTTTCACTGAATTGCTGCATCAAGAAATTAAAGACCAACGAAACATGGCTTCTTCTACATCAGGTAAATTGCTCTGCCTCTGCTGCTGCACACACTGTTTGGTTAAGCTCTAGACGTGCTGCTGCAATAGCCTGAGCCAAGTTCTTGTCATCATCAGCATATAGAAACCATCACGTTTCTCTCGCATCAAGAATTCATCTTCTTCCAAATTGAGTCTGTTTGTCAATGTGGCTTCGTTCACATCTCCAAAGGCAATGCTACACCCACACAACTACAGAAAATTATTCATCAAACACTACCAATTAATTCAGACAAAGATGTAACCAAACACACTGAGCAAGCTCAATGTAACAGTATACCTTTGCACGAGTTCGCACCACACATTTTGCTCGTTGACAATCGGAGAGGAAACACGACCAGTCCGTCATCTGCCACGTGGAGATCCCTTATACATCCTCCCCACCTTGGAATCCCATCAACCAGAGCGCACAGTACAGAGAATTCTGTGCCCGAAATTTCGCTGAGGTTTCTGACCTTTCAAATTGACATTGCATTACCACTTGAGCATAGTAAGGCGTATTACCCCAACACACCTTCTTTTGTTGTTCGACGTAAATTCTGCGCGGACAAGACAGTTACACAAAAATGCAAAAACTGGAGCTAAAACCTCTCAAGCGCAGGAGCCGCATCTTCTTACTAGTACAATAGCTCGTTTCTTAGGACAGTAGTACCTTGTAGAGTTGAAACAAGCTCGATACCACAGGCAACTCAACCATGTTTTTCGACTATGCCCCGATCCAATTCTTCTTTTCCCTTGGCTACATTTAGTGTAAATGGTCGTACGGCCCGTACATTCTCTGCCGTCAATGAGCCTTGGCCTATGCTACTTGGTGCCCATATGTCTGTGAACCATCGAATGTGTGTTGCTTGTCTTAGACTCATTGGGTTCGGACACACGCTGATCGCGGTCTGATGCTATCCTCTACTGGACATTGAGAAGGCGCTTCCTGTGGCTCTATTACCGTACCAAGTCTTGTCCACAGAATCCTACCTTCTTCCCATTCCGCGTCGTCTCAGAGTATCCTAGCAAGTATCATTTCCTGGCTATGACGTTAGAGTAATAGTATACATATATGGTGGTGTGTGGTTTGTGTGGTTTAAGCTAGTTGTACATTAGTGGAAACAATAGGCACACACAGGATGACAAGAAAACCGTGCTTGTAACCATAGGAGGGAGTTGCCTCTCATCTCATAAGCGATGAATAGCATGGCGAAGAAAGACAGGTAGTTGCAAAGGAATTGCTGATTACATTCTTCAGCCGTGAGCCGCGTCACGCCATCATAAACATGTTTACAGAGGTGCAAATCCTCTAGGGGCAATTTGTGCAGAGCGCGCAGTACAAATATTAACGACAGGATTGCCAAGGCCCAAATTCTTATTGCTTGGTCCGGTCATTCACAATTTAACAGAAAATGCACGAAGGGACTTACGTTTGAGTCAAGATTCTTAAAGAAGAATGAACCATGATTAGCACACCAGCCCATACATTAAGATTTAATCAACTTAACTAAATCCAAAACTGTAATATGTCCTTCACAACCTCAAGGGAAAATGAAGACCGTTGGCCAGTGGGTGGTACATGGTACATACAAGTTTCCAAGTGCTCACTAAAGTAACCAGTTTTTTTCACAAAACCTCACGTCAAAAACGGATTCTCGCATCACCTGTTAGTCATCATCGTCTAGTCATCACCTTATGGGTGGTCTTCCCTCTTTCGCTTTATCCATACCACATTAGTGTAGCTGTGGTCCTCAAATAGAGACCTATCAGGATTTGAACATGTTCCACCAGACAAAGGGGCAAGACATTAGACAGAATATTAAGACGAGTATCAAGACTAACCTCAAAAGGTCGTATACTTATCATTCTCATCCGTCCCCAGTCCCAAATTTAGAATATATCTACTAGTCCATCTTTCCATAATAAAGAGCATGATGTAACAACCCAGGCGCTCGCCGCTAAGTCAACACATGCGTATTTGCGTTTGAGCATGTTAAGTGTTCTTGCCTTACTTGACGAGTGTACAGCAGTAGACATACAGAACAGTCTGTCTTACAGTTTGGAGGCCCCACATATAACTTTGATCTGGCAGTATTGTGATGACCTGCTCAAACTGATACAGTTTTAAAACCGCAGCCTTTTGGGAATATTTAGATCAGAGCACATTTTGCATTCTCTAGAAAGGGCAAGGGTGTGTTATTGTTTGGAAAAACAAATTGTGCAAGAATTCTCAACCCTATAAGAAACAAACCTGACATGGAATTGTGAGGGATGTGAAAATAGTCAATAATAGTTGGCAGGGTAAAACAAACTAACGGTTATCGAGGGATCGACTATGCGTTAAGAGTTAAATGACACTTAAACAGGTGTTGACAATACAATCAAATTGATTTTATGCATAAAACTAAGACAAAGGTTCGTGTGGGATTTGAGTTTAAGGATAAGAGAACGACAACGATAGGTGAAGTGAGGTGTCTTTCAGCACATCTTTCCATTATATTGTGTTCGCCCTTTCTGAGTTCAAGGCGTTCCATACACGAAATTTGTGATCTGTTCCATCAATAGACAGGCAAACAGTGTTTCTCTCTTGCTTGTATTTTGAATCGTTTTGACACACACATTGCCATGGGTTCCATTCGTGGTTTTTTGGGGCAGTTTAATTTCCGGGACACCACAGTATCCTTCTCCCCTGTAGCTTCCCACGACGATTGGGTCGTGTCTGAGCTGTCTGTTTTCGATCCTAGAACTAGCTATGATAGCACTTTCCCGGCCTGTTAAACATCATCAATGTTTGGTCCTAAATTAGTCAAGGCACAAGATATCTCCCACTGTGGCTCATATTTTCGTGCCTTAATTTTGGTTTCTCTGCGTCTTCCTCACTTTCATTTCGAGAACCAGTTTTGGGATCTTATGATGGTTGAAGTTTCAAACCGTCAGATCTCACAAAAGTGCCTCCGAAATACACATGCTTGAGAGTAAATCCGCATGTGTTTTCCTCAATAAGTGAAGGAATGAATGACTTAGTAACTCGCCACTGTCAAAATGTCTTGGAATTTGGTCACCTGCAAGTGAATTTTTGTTGCACGCATATATATATTATGCCTAATACCACTATTTATATATAAGCCACGAAAAAGATTGAAGACGTAAATAAAAGCTAATGGCAAGTTATTTAATATTATAACTCATGCAATTTTTTTTTGGGGGTCCTGAAAACCATGATATATGGAACTGAGACTTCCTGCATTTACCAAATAATTATTTAATAAAATGAGGATGAAAAGGAAAGTTGACACACTACTAGATATTCCACGATGAGACCCAAAAAAAAAAAAAATAACTGGAAAGAAACCGGTGTTGGTAAAATCTCTGTCTAGAACCTTCCTCATAGACCAAGGAAGACCAAGTCCTATTAAGCTCTATCTGCAAACTTTCAAAAGGCTCTTCCCTCATTCCTCCTCATCCGTAATTATTACTTACATCACCTGATTCCCCCAACTTCTTCTGATATATCTATATATATATATTATGCACATAGCTTCTGTGTTTATTCCACTTTTATGCTTAGCAACTGAACGCGAGAATACAAAAAACAAGTTATCAATCAACAGTAACAGGAGCATGATATCTATGGTAAACTCCACATAACACAATGGCTTGTTTTATTCCACTTGCTTAGCACTGACGCGAGAATACAAAAACAGTTTACAATCAACAGTAAAAAGAAGCGCTATATGGGTAACTACCAAATAACCACCCTCAAACTAATCAGACTATTGACTATAGAGTTTAACACAATGAATACTTTTTCAGCCAATTTACCCCTTCAGATTATATTTTGAAGATCCATTTAGGCACATGCTGACAAAGTTTTACACTTCATCCAATTTTCTAAGGGTGAGCTTTGATACAGTAATACATTCACAGACACCTCAACAGCCAAAAAAAAGAGCAAACTACTCAGACACCCAGCGCTTATCCACCGCTCATTTGAAGACTAACGAGCCAGCTCACTCATGCGAACGTTGAGAGAATAGGGATAATATAGCATATTCCATGTATGTATAGCTTTATTCTTAGAGACTTCTGTATAGGAACAACTATACCCCACATATAATTACACAATATTAAAGAGAAAGACTGAGCCAATGAATTAAAATTGGGAGTTTCACGAAACACCCAAAATGGAGGTTGAAATTATAAAAAAACCCACCACCCAAACACTTTATAAACACACCCAAACCCTCATTACACACACTCAAAACCCTTTTATAAACCACCCAAAAAGTTGACTTTGGGGTTATTTTGGGTGTGTTTCTATGTTTACATAGTGCTTGGGTTTTTTATAAATACATGTCTAAGATTGGGTTTTTTATAAATTTGTATATAAATCCCTAGCTGCGCAATCTTCCTTCCTTTTCCGAAAACTTCAAGTCCTTCTTTCTTTCTTGCTCCATAAAGGAATATAGCCATTCTAGTGTAATTTCTAACGGGTAATCATGTCCCAATACCCAACGGGTATCTTCCTACTCTTTTGGTCTCCTCCCTTTCTCCCAGCATCATTTTGCACCTTTTGCTAAATTTTTTCCTTCTCTCTCATCTATGGCCCCCCCAAAAAAAAAAAAAAAAAAAAAAAAAAAAAAAAAAAAAAAAAAAAAAAAAAAAAAAAAAAAAAAAAAAAAAAAAAAAAAAAAAAAAAAAAAAAAAAAAAAAAAAAAAAAAAAAAAAAAAAAAAAAAAAAAAAAAAAAAAAAAAAAAAAAAAAAAAAAAAAAAAAAAAAAAAAAAAAAAAAAAAAAAAAAAAAAAAAAAAAAAAAAAAAAAAAAAAAAAAAAAAAAAAAAAAAAAAAAAAAAAAAAAAAAAAAAAAAAAAAAAAAAAAAAAAAAAAAAAAAAAAAAAAAAAAAAAAAAAAAAAAAAAAAAAAAAAAAAAAAAAAAAAAAAAAAAAAAAAAAAAAAAAAAAAAAAAAAAAAAAAAAAAAAAAAAAAAAAAAAAAAAAAAAAGCCTTATAAAAATTACAAAAAAAAAAAATTAAAAAAACAAATCCAACGGGCGGGGGCCGGTTAAAAAAAAAATTAACAAAAAAATTTTTTTTGTTACCGTTCGTTATTAAAATTAAATGTTAACCCAAAAAAACTTACGGGCAAAAAAAAAGATTTAAAAAATTATAAAAACCGACACGGTTTTTTTTTTCTTTCGTTTTTAAAAATTCCTACGATTGGAATCTTTTTTTAAAAAAAAAAAAATCTTTAAACCCAAGTTGGGGGTTTTTCATTTTAAACGAAACGGGTAATTTTATAACAATTTTAAAAAAAAAGTTTCGTTATTTTGGTCCCCAAACTTTATACGTTCATTTTAACCATTATATTTAAAAAACCGTCGTCTGAATAAGAATGTTTTTTTAAAAACAACCAAATTTTATTTTTTTCCTTGGATTTTTGATTATGCATACGTCGAGCTTTTAAGATTTCTACAAACTTTAAAAAAAAAAATTTTGGGGACAAAGAAAATTGAAAAATAACCACCGGACGGTTTATATAGGAAAAAAAAACCGCCGGGGGACATTTTTAAATTCGGGATTATTTTGAGATTCACAAAAGGGGGTTTAGGAAAAATTTTTTTTTTTTTTCTTTTTAACAAGGAAATTTTTTTTTTTTTTTTTTTTGAAAAAAACTCTGTTGCCCCTCATTCATAAAATCTTACCAGGGGCGGAAAAA